ATAAAGGCTTTTCCTCATTTTATCAGTCTGTGTTAACACCTGCCATCCTTTTTTTTCTCTCTTCCTTTTTTTTGTTGGTTTTTTTTTTTTTTTTTTTTCATTTGGAACCGGGGATTGAACTCAGGCCGTTGCGCTTGCCAGGCAAACACCTGCCATCCTGCTGCCTCAGACTCCCAAGTCCACCTGCACTTTTCCTGTTTAGACATACATTTCTCCTTTTGCTGTCCCATGTGTCATTTTAGAGGCAGGTGCTAGTGTGCTGGTGGACATGCCATTGGTCCCAAACTGACATTCACCTGTGAACAGGTATAAGGAAGGCAGCAGTATTAGGCTAGCCATTGCCACCTTGACCAGTCCCATGGGGCACCAGTGTGGCATTCTGGGATACCTGCTGTAGCTTGATGGCCTAGTAAGCAGCTGCCTTGAGTCTCAGTTTCCACCTCTGCGGTGTAGTGACCCTGACCAAACACTTGGAGTTGGCTGCTGCCGCCAGGCAGGGCCAGGGCTGGGGGCTCCCTCGGCATGTGTTTCCTCTGGGCAGCCCCACCCCAGTTGCAGCCCCACTGTGCTCTGGCACCAGGAGATGGGTTTGCGGAGTTGTACAGTTGTGGACGGTGGCCTCACCAACCTCCCAGTTGCCTGTGGCCTCTCTGCATCATGCTGCCAGGACCCCTGTGTTGGGTAGCGGAGCTGCCCGGCCCACTGGCAGGGACTGTCACATACCTAATAGCATGAGCAGTGCCCAGCAACACAGCTGTCCCAGGGCTGCAGTTCGGGGCTGTGGGCCTGAGGGAGAGGAGTCCCGGCATGGCTGTGACCAAGCCTCTAGCTGGCTGGTTTCCCTTGAACCTTCAGGCCTTGAGACCTTGCAGCCTTAGCCGGGGTCAGGAAACACACCAGAGCCACTGGCCAGGACCCTTCGACTGGTGTGCTTGGGAATCCCAGTCAGCATTGCTCCTCTGGCACTGGCAAGAGGCTTGTGGAGTTGGCTGCAGCAAGCCAGGCCCCGGCTCTGCTGGCCCTGCCATGTAGCCTTGGGTGCACTGTTCTGTTTGGGGCTCACTTGTTACCTCTGAAGAACATGACAGCCTCCTGGGCTGGTTCAGGAGCTGGGCTTATGTCTGTCTCTGTGGAGGGTGCTGTCCTGCATGGTGCAGTATCTGACCACTTTTAGGGCTGCCCCTGGGTTTCTGGTGGTGGCTGCCAGGGCATCATGAACACCTCCCCACAGCTGGCGTGTGGCCAGGACGGGCAACTGAAGGGCTTCGCGGTGCTGGAGTACGAGACCGCCGAGATGGCTGAGGCAGCCCAGCAGCAGGCTGACGGTCTGGCCCTGGGGGGCAGCCACCTGCGCGTGTCCTTCTGTGCCCCGGGGCCACCAGGCCGCAGCATGCTGGCAGCGCTCATCGCTGCCCAGGCCACGGTGAGTGTGTGGGAGGGGTCCCTAGGCGGGTGTGGAGTGCCTGCTGCTACCAGGCCATGCTGAGCTGCCCTGTCCCCCTCCTCAGGCCCTCAACCGTGGCAAGGGGCTCCTGCCTGAGCCCAACATCCTGCAGTTGCTCAACAACCTGGGCCCATCTGCTTCTCTGCAGCTGCTCCTCAACCCCCTGCTCCACAGCGGTGCTGGGGGCAAGCAGGGTAAGCGGGCCTCCCGCCCCCTCACCAGGCTTCTCCCCTATCTGCAGCCAGGGCTTTGTGGAACGGTGGGGGGAAGGGACGTTTGCTTTAAGACCCTCCCCACCCCCAGCTTTTTCTCTGCATCTTCCCCAGGCCTTCTGGGCGCGCCCCCAGCCATGCCACTGCTTAGCGGGCCGGCCCTGTCCACAGCGTTGCTGCAGCTCGCCCTCCAGGCCCAGAGCCACAAGGTAACAGCAGGGCTCCCTGCTCCCCACGCTGGCAGCCTCACCTCCCTTGCCCAGCACTGTGTACCACCCTGGTGCCTTGGGAATGGTGAAACTTGCTTCTCTACCCTAGGTGGAGTCTGCTTTTGCCCTGTGCACCTGGCCTTGGTGGCTAGGTCAGGGGTCAGGGGAACTGGACGCACCTCTTTGTAGCCCTGAACTGGGTGCGGCCCAAGAGCCCCGTCCCCAGCTCTAGGGAAGAAATTCCCCCCATCCCCAATACGCATGCGCACAGGTGCAGGGCAGTACCCTGGGTCGCTTTGCTCAGATCCTGACAGGATTGGGGTGGTGTCTGGTGGTAACAGTGAATCTGTGCACGAGGCATTATGGGACTTAAGTGTGACCAAAATCCTCTGATTGGTGTGGTTGTCACACACCATGTGGCTATCATGCTGTGTGCTATGAGGAGGTTGGGTGGCCCAGGCATGCCACCTGGAACACCTGGTGTGCTGGGCCTTGGGGCACCACAGGTGGGGGGTGTCACGCCCTGAGGGATGCTGTGTGTGCTTGCAATTGCCAAGACCTTGGGGTGAAAATGGCTGCTACCTAGTTCACCCCGTCCCATCTGCAGCTGACTGTATCTGTTCTAGAAGCCTGGGATCCTGGGAGACTCGCCCCTGGGCACCCTCCAGCCTGGGCCCCAGTCAGCCAACCCCCTCCTCGGGGACCTGTCAGCAGGTAATGCTGACCCCGCCCCACCTTTCCTGGGCACTGTTCCTCTGCTTCCCAGCCCCTTCCTCTGTGGGAGTGGTGAGTTCCCAGCTGTGTGCTGCTGTGTCAGTGACTCTGGGCCTCAGTCTCATCTGTCAGTGAAAGTGGGGTCCTAAATTCAGTCCCTGGTTCCGCAAAAAAAAAAGTGGGTACCCATGTCATAGGGCGGCTGGGGACATTCTGACGTTGATGCCCTGAGACAACTTTGGCCCTACTGGCTATAGGGCCCTAGGAGAAGAGGCCTCAGGGCTGGGTTCATGGTGATACTCTTTTCTCTGCAGGCGGGGGCCTGGCCCCAGAGCTGCCGCCTCGGCGAGGAAAGCCACCACCACTGCTGGGCCCTTCTGGGGGGGACCGAGAGCCCATGGGCTTGGGCCCTCCAGCGGCTCAGATCACCCCCCCACCTGCCCCTGGGGGGCTCCGAGGCACAGGCCTTAGGGGCCTGCAGAAGGACAATGCACCCCTGTCCACGCCTCCTGGGGTAAGGCTGGATCCTGCGCCCAGACCATTCCTGCCTCCTGCCCTGTGCCCCCCTCCACCTGTGCCCCTGGTGAATCCAGTCCTCTGTCTCAGGTCTCTCTGCTGGGGGAGCCCCCCAAGGACTACCGGATCCCCCTGAATCCCTACCTGAACCTACACAGTCTGCTCCCAGCTAGCAATCTGGCTGGCAAGGAGGCCCGGGGCTGGGGGTGCACCACGAGAGGCCGCCGCCCAGCTGAGGGGCCCCTGCCCACGCCCCCAGTCCCAGGAGGAAGCGCTGGTGCAGGTAGCAGCAGCAGCAAAGCCTTCCCGCTCAAGTCCCGCCTGCTCAGCCCCCTCAGCTCCCGCCTGCCCCCTGAGCCCGGGCTGCCCGACAACTACGGTTTCGACTACCCCTCGGTGAGTACCAGGACACCCTGGGCCAGCCGCCCTGAGGGCCAGCTGCCATGGCCCTTTGTCCCCGTAGAGCAGGTAATTCTCTAAACTGATATAGGTAGCCTGCGTGGTGGTGCACGCCTATAATCCCAATTTGGGGGGAGCTTGAGGCAGGAGGATTGTTGCAAGTTCAAGGCCAGCCTGGGCTGCAAAGTGAGCTCAGGGCTAGCCTGAACTGCATAGCGAGATCCTGTGTCAAAAACTAGACAAAAAGGGGCCGGGGAGATGGCTCAGTGGAATAAGCACTTCCCTGGCAAGTGCAAGGACCTGAGTTCAATCCCTGGTTCCGAAAAACAAAAACAAAAACAAAAAACCCCACAAAAACCAGACAAAACAAAAAAATAGATGCAGGGTAGCATCCCTAACCCAAAAATCTAAAATCTTTAAGGTCCCAAATTCTTAACTTTTTTGGAGGCAGTCTTGCCCTGACTGGCCTCAAACTCACCATCCATCCTCCCGCCTCAGCGTCCTGGGCGCTGGGATCATTAGGTGACTCTCCCTACATACACCTTTTGGTGGTACTGAGAATTGAACCCAGGGAGCATGGAGCTATAGCCTGCAGCCCTTTTTTATTTTTATTATGGGATGGTGTCTTGCTTAGTGGCCCAGTCCAGCCTCAGTCTCCTGAGGACCTGGGATTAAAGGTGTGCTCTGCCATACCTCACTACTTCTGAAGCTGTTGGAGCACTGTGTCGCATCTCTCCCTGACCTCACAGAACAGGTCATTGTCAGAATGCAGACACACGACGAAGAGTAGTTTAAAACGACCCATTGTGCACGTAAGACGTATCCAAAGTGAAAATGAACTTCCTCTTTCAACTTGGGTTCTATTCTTGAGATGCCTCATTATGTGTATTCCAAAACCCAGAATGATCTAAAATCCAAGTTCTGGGCATTGAACCCTCACACCGAGCTACATCTTCAGTCTTTTTAAAGAAAAATTTAAATTTTGGTCCAGGGCCTTGCAAAGTTGCCCAGGCTTCAGCCTTCCTGCCTCAGCCTCCTTGAGTGCTGAGGTGACAGGTGTGTGCTCTCCCGCCATGTTTCTTTAGTCCTGGTTATGCCAGACCAAGCATTAGGCAGACTGCAGGTCCTTGCCACAGGTCTCCTGTCTGCCTGCCCCTATCTGTCAATCCTGCTTCCTGTCTGGCTGTCCACCTGAAGACCTGGACAGTCTCTCCTGGACTCCTCTATCTGTCTTTCTCTCCTGCCATGCCTCAGCTGCCCTTTCTGTCTATCTGACCGCTTGTACCCTGTTGACTCCTGGAGATTCATCCTTCTGTCATGCCACCCTCCTCCTGGTCAGAAACTGCACCCTGCGCCACCACAGGCCATGCCTGTTACGTTTGCCCCATGTGGGCTCAAAGCAAACCAACAATTGAAGTAAATGCCAAGTAGAGAAATGGAAAGGCTTCCTGAAAATAGAACTGCTGACCAACTCTGGGTCACTGTGGGGTCCCAGGCAGCCCTGCTTTGGGCAGCGCACACCCCTGGTCCCATTCCTGCTACCCCTCCTGCTCATAGACCCTAAGGCCAAGTTTGCCCCAAGCACCCTGGTTCTGTTGAGCCACAGAACTGAGTCCAGGGTGAAACTGGCAGAGGCTCAGCTCCCGTGTCTCTGTCCCTTCCATTCAGGATGTGGGACCTCGGCGGCTCTTCTCCCATCCCCGGGAACCAGGCCTAGGGCCTCACGGACCCAGTCGCCACAAGGTAAGAGGCATCATGTGCACCCGGCCCTGGGTGCAGCAGGTAGATCTGGCTGCGCAAGGAGTGGCCCCATCAGCTGCTGAGCCCAGCAAACATTATTTTACAATGAGGCGTCCCTCAGTGCTCTCAGCTGGCTCGCATCTGGCCTCCACTGATCCCCTTGCTTCCACCTCCTGAGTAACTGGGCCTGCAGGCACAGGCCATCACGGCTGGCTACAAACACAGTTTTTTATTTCCCACAATTGTGCAAGGGGTGGGTCGGAGTTCTCTGCTGTTCCTTAGGAGCTCTGCTGGGCCTCCGTGGTCCTGGCCTTGCTCCTGTAGGTCGGGCAGCAGCCCGTGGGAGGATGCTGGCTAGGCTGCACCAGCTTATCACTGGCCACAGCGAGGTGCCTCTGCTCAAAAGGCCCCTGTCCCTGGAGGACAAAGGCCAAGCCAGCCTTCACGTGCCAGCTGTCCCCAGTTCTGTTGGACAGTGCTTGTTACATCAAGCTTGGAGGCTTTTGGGGGACCCTTTGCCGCTCAGCTGCTCCCTCTCTGCAGATGTCTCCCCCACCCAGTGGCTTCAGCGAGCGGAGTAGCGGAGGCGGAGGGGGCCCTCTCTCTCACTTCTACTCGGGCTCACCCACCTCCTACTTCACCAGTGGCCTGCAGGCTGGCCTCAAGCAGAGCCACCTCAGTAAGGTGAGCAACCGGGGCCTGGGGTTGGCCAGCAGGGGCGGCAGGCCTGCCTCCAGGGTGCAGTGACTTCAGTGCCTTGGCCACAGCTGCAAGTGGCAGATGCAAGACGGGGGAAAGCCAGACCTCCTCGGGCCTCCTCCGAAGTGAGGAAGTGACTTGTGATCTCCCTCTTCTGCAGGCAGTTGGCTCGTCTCCGCTGGGCTCCGGCGAGGGGCTCCTGGGCCTTGGCCCAGGGCCCAACGGCCACAGCCACCTGCTGAAGGTACAGGCAGGGGGTGGGGACGCACAGGGCTGGGGAGGCCTGGCCCTGCGGCACCCCCTCACTCGGCGCCCCATGCCCTCTGTCTCCAGACCCCCTTGGGTGGCCAGAAACGCAGCTTTGCTCACCTGCTGCCCTCACCTGAGCCCAGCCCAGAGGGCAGCTACGTGGGCCAGCACTCCCAGGGCCTCGGCGGCCACTACGCAGACTCCTACCTGAAGCGGAAGAGGATTTTCTAAGGGGCTGGCCCCGAGGACGCTCGGGGCCTGTGCCGCATTGCTCTGGGGCTTTCTGGTGTTTTGTTTTGTGATCTTAAATTTTTTTTTTCTTCTTTTGGGTAATAGAGAAATCTCTGAAAGACTTTGCTGACCAACAAGCCAGAGCCCAAGGAGTGTGGGGGTGCCCAGCAGCTCTGCTCGCCATCCTGCTCCAGGCATGGGAACCACAGCCTTAAGAGAGAGGGGCCTGACCTGCTCTCTCCCTGCCCACTGCCGTCCTCTCTTGGGCCTGGCTCTTTCTCGGGAGTCCCCTCCTGCCTTGTCACTCCTGTGTTTTGGCCTTTTGAGTGCCTTGGAGGTTTTCCTGACCTCCTGTGAGGATCAGAGACTGTCTCCCTGCCCCCTTTTTAACTTTTGACAGTTGACTTTATTTCCTTTTCTAATTTTTATTATTTTTTAAGCCATCCCACATGACCCCCCACCCACCCACTCCCAGCTCTGATCCCTTCAAGGTCCTGCCTGTCCGGGCCTCCATTCCACACTTCGAAGTTCCAGCCGGCTCAGCCCTCTGCTCTTTCTCCTGTCTGCTGCAACGGGGCGTCTCCTGCGGCTGCCCCCCTACTCTGGCCAATACTCTGCCCCGGTCCCCTGCCCCCCGCCACAGCCCTCCGGCCTTCTGATGCCTTAACCTTGGGCTGCAGACCCCGCAGGCCAGAGCCTCTCAGACAGTGAGCTCCGGAAGCTTGACTCAGGACCAAACAGCTCTGGCCTCAGGCGTGGGCCCCTCTGCACCCAGGGACTCCACCCTGGGGACAGTAGTAGGAGGCCTCAGCCTCGGTCTTGGCAGTGCCCCACCCCAGCCAGTCCCTGCTGTCCGTCTGGGAGTTGGCTGCTGGGCCATCTCGCGAGCCTCTGCCGGACGCACCCCGTAGACCAGCTGGGGGGGTGGTCCCAGACGTGGCCTTCTCCCGGCCCAGTGCCAGAAAGCAACAACTCCGTGTAGGTGGCGCCAGTCCACCGGGATGATCCTGGCCCAGCCACCAGCCCCCCGTGCCCTGTCTGGGGCTCACGTCCACTCCAGGGGTCGCCCTTTCTATCTTCCCACACAGACCTTTGCTGAATTAAAGTTTGTAAGTAAATGGTTTTAAAAACATGCAGAGTTGGCTTGTTCTTGGGACGGGGCACCTGGTGGGAAGTGCAGGATGGCCCCGGATGTCGCTGCAGTACCCTGCGCGGCCCCCTTACACCACGTGGACGCCTCGTCCCGCGCAGCGTTCCCGGCGTCCGTCCTGCTGGGCGGTCCGCGCATGCCCAGCCGTGCGGTCACGTGACGCCGTCATGGCCGCCTCCTTCGCCCGGGGCGGCGTGAACGGCGGGTTCATGCTGCATGCTGCCAGGGGCTCGTGGTGGGGCCGGACCAGGGAGGTGGCGGCGCTGACGTCCAGGAGCTTCCGGACAGGTATCCCAAGTGCCAGCGCAGACTGCGTGAGCCACTCGCGCGCCCGCAGAGCTGGGGCCTCCGCTCACCCACCGTGTTTTCTAGGCTGGCGCCCGGCACTGGGGGACACCGGCGGCCCTGAGCAGCCTGGGGACGTGTGAGTGTCCCGTTCCCCGCCCCATGAGGTTTCCCGGCTTCCCGCCGTGCCCTGCAGCGTCTCTCCGTGTCCTTTATCTGCCTGGCCCTCTCCTGCTCCCGCACATCCCGAGTCCCGCGGGTCTGAGCCAGGGACGCCCCTGAGCTCGGCTTGCACTTGGACATCCGCACCCCGTCCGTCCCCAGGGTGAACGTGGTGTTCATTGACCGGGCCGGCCAGCGGATCCCAGTGAGCGGCAGAGTCGGGGACAATGTCCTCCATCTGGCCCAGCGCCACGGTGTGGACCTGGAAGGTATGAGCCAGGCACAGGGTATTACCCATCCCAGCTGCCCTTTATTTCAGAAAGCGACAATCAGATCCGTCTCCACAGTGTAGCCCATCCATGGCCTTCCACCAAATATGTATTAAAACCCAAACTTTACGCCTCTATTTAATAAGCATTTATTACGACCACGCCTCTGGAACTCTTGTGGCCAGAGCGTGTATTCTTCTGTTCTCTGTTGCTCTTTCCGTGCAGGCCAGTGTGTACACACACAGCGTGTGTGTGTGTGTGTGTGTGTGTGTGTGTGTGTTATGGCATGGTACTTGGTGCTGAAATCAGGGCCATCATACCAAACCATATCCGCAGCCCTCTTATTTTGAGAAAAGGCCTCCCTAAAAGTTGCTAAGTTACCCTGGCTGTCCTGTAGATGTGACCCTCCTGCCTCAGCCTCCCCAAGTGAGGAGATGATAGGCCTGAGCCACCGTCCAGGCTCCATATTGGTTTTCCCTTTTGCTATTGCGTAACAACACAGTCCTGTTATGTACTCAGGTTGGTCTTATACTCACTGTGTAGCCCAGGCTTACTTCAAACTCTTGGGGATCCGCCTGCCTCAGTCTTACAAATGCTGGGGTTATAGGCATGTGCCACTGCACCCAGTACGCATTGATTTGTTTTGTTTTGTTTATGTATCTATTTATTTGGTACAAGGTCTCACTATACAGCTCAGACTTGTAGTGATCCTCCCGTCTCAGCCTCCCCAGCACTGGGATTACTGGTGCCACCATGCCTGGTTTCTGTGGTTGGGGTACGCCCAGGGTTCTGGGGCCTGCATGGCGTGTGGTACCAGGGTTAGAACCTGGGTCCTTGTGCTTGCCTTGCTCTTGCCAGGGAAGCGCTTATTCTACTGAGCCATCTCCCCACCCCCTTTCCGGGGATTTTTTTAGACAAGTTCTTGATGTGTAGTTTAGGCTAGAAAAACCTTGAACTTACAGTAGACCAAGCTGGCCTTGAACTTACGGCAGGCCTGCCTCAGCCTTCCAAGTGCAGCAGGGATGACAGGCACGTGCTGCTGCACCTGGTCTCAGCTAGTATTCTTTCTTTCTTTCTTTCTTTCTTTCTTTCTTTCTTTCTTTCTCATCATCACATGTCACTGTAAATGTCACTCCCTGTGGGTCACACCCTGCTCAGTTCAGCTCAAGTTCTGTCTTCCCTCACTCTGGTTTAGCAGTGTTTTATTGTCTTCACAGCACTTTCTCTTTCTTTCTTTCTTTCTTTCTTTCTTTCTTTCTTTCTTTTTTTTTTTTCAGAACTGGGGATTGAACTCAGGTCCTTGGGCTTGCCAGGCAAGTGCTTATTCAACTGAGCCATCTCCCCAGCCCCTCTTTTCTTTTTTTGAGACAGAGTCTAACTGTGTAGCTCAGGCAGGACTCAAAGTTGAGGAGACCCTACTGCCTCGGCCTCTCATAGCGTTCCTCAGTGCTTTGCTTCCTTCCTTGTCATCTGCTCCCAGTGAGCTTGGAGTCCCTGTTCACTTGTTCGCCTTTACCCACAGCGGCTAATGGTGCTTAGATGTCAAGGGCATCAGATGAGCATTTGCTGGAGGGAATAACAGCAGAAATTACTTGCAACAGATTAATACATATTGGGGGCAACGCACTTGGGTCCCCCCTTCTGTACCTCTCAGACGGAAGCTTTCTTTCCCCAATAAAAGTTCTGCTCTTAACTTCCAAAATAATAATAATAATAATACACGTTTATTTCATATTATAGAGGAAGCTTCCATTTTATAGATGAGAAAACTGAACCCCAGTTTAACTGACCTGGTACAAAACCAAGTAAACAACAAAACTAGATTCAAAACATTTTAGCCAGGCCCAGCGGAACCTGCCTGTAATCCCAGCTACTAGCGAGGCCGAGGCAGGAGGATATGAAGTTCAAGCTCAGCCTAGGCAATCCGGCTTAATGAGACCCTATCTGAAAAGAAAAAGATAAGAACCGGGAAAGTAACTCACATCACTGTTATGACTGTCTGTCAGGGCAGTGCATTTTATCATTGTAGCCCCTAATCTGTGCTGCCCTTTGTGATTCTGTGAAAATGGAGTACCTCCTGTGTGTTGGGCAGCGATACGCAACAAATTGATGCCCCTGTCATCTCAGTCTCAGCCCACAAGGAAACATACGTGGGACACCCGGGCAGAGTGGTCTGTTTGTTGGGAGAACATAATCGGGAGCCTGACATGATCATTAAAAGGGGTCTGGTGTGGTGGTACACACCTGTCATCCCAGCACTCGGGAGGCTGAGGCAGGAGGATTGCCAGGAGTTCAAGGCTAGCCTGGGCCACATAGTGCACTCGAGGCCAGCCTGAACATTTGAGAACCTACCTAAAAAAAATCATTAAAGGGAGTGAGACATTGGAAGGTCTTGGCTGGCCTCCCTGATGTAGAGCTGTTTGTTTGTTTGTGTTTGTTTGTTTGTTTGTTTTTCCAGAACCCTGTAGGCAGCAGTTCAGGTCAGAGTTTGAGACATGAGTTTTATTTCATTTTTTATTTTTTATTTTATTTTATTTATTTGTTTGTCTTTTTGAAACAGGGTCTCACTGTGCGGCTCAGGCTGGCCTTGAGCTCACTGTGTAGCCCAGGCTGGTCTCCAGCTGGAAATGGTCCTCCTGCCTGAGCTTCCGACGCGCTGGGCTTGTAGGTGTGTGTCACCACATGCAGTGCTTCTTTTTGTTTTATTTATTTACCTCTTTTTGGAGGGGTGCCTTGCTGGGTAGTGCGAGCTGGCCTTGAACTCAGTGATCCTCCCGGCCCAGACTCCTGAGTTCTGGGATTGCAGGCGTGCGCTGCAGATCAGCCTATTTAATATTAACAAAAGCTTGATGGTGCTGAGTGCTACACAAAATTAAAAGGCAGAGAGTGGCAAGAGACAAGTGGCAGGAGCGTCAGATTGAAGGATGATTGCGTTGGATTCCTGGGGGCGAGACGGAGTTTTCTGGGTGGGGTGCAGCAGGTGCCAAGCCAGGGAAGGGCCTGGCTTGATGGAGTACGTGGCATCAGGAGGCCAGTGTGCCTGACATGGATGGAAGAAGGCGAGGACAGACCTCCTGGACAGCGAGGCGGGCTTGGATTTTATCCTGGGTGTGAACACCCTGTGCCGCACCCCTAACCAGGAAGGCGGCTGTCCCCAGGTGAAGTTCTTGGTGACCAGTGCAACGGTTCAGGAGTGTGGCAGGGGCATGGGGACAGCAGCGATACCCAGCTGCTGCATCTCAGCCCTGACACTGGCCTTCTCCCATCACAACCCGCCTGCCAGGACGTGGGAGCACTTGGAGCCAGGGAGGGCCACAACAAGCCTCCCCGGGCTTCAGAGAATCGGCCTGGGTTGGCCCCTTCCACTCTTGGAAGTTACATCCATGCTGTCCAGGGGCTCCACATAGCCAGCCCTGTCCTTGACGACCCTGGATGTGCCTTTGAGTCTTTTCATTTGTTGTGTGGGAGATTTTGAGATGGGGTCTCTGTGTGGCCCAGGCTGGACTTGACCTTGTGGTGATCCTCCTGCCTCAGCCTCCTGAGTGCTGGGATGACAAGCATGTGCGATCAGGCCTGACTTGGATGTCCTTTTGTAAAGACTCCAGGCAGCTGAGGAGCAGAGAACTGGGTGAAGGACAGGGTAGTAGCCAGCCCAGGAAGGAGCGATGGCACCAGCAGTGGGGTCACGGGCTCCTGACACCTGCACGATGGATGTGGACCTTCTGTCCCTTTCTTCTCTTTCTACCCCAGGAGCCTGCGAAGCCTCCCTAGCGTGCTCCACCTGCCATGTGTATGTGAGTGAGGCCCACCTGGATCTCCTGCCTCCCCCCGAGGAGCGGTGAGCGGGTTCCCCACACACAGAGGGCCCCTGCTCCCCTTCACGAGGCCGTCCTGCCTGACCCCTCCCCGGGCTGCTGAGCTCCCGCCGCCTGGCTGTGTGCCTTCCGCTCACTGCGCCCTCGGTGCCCTAGGGAGGACGACATGCTGGACATGGCGCCCCTGCTCCAGGAGAACTCCCGCCTGGGCTGCCAGATCGTGCTGATGCCCGAGCTGGAAGGGGCAGAGTTCACCCTGCCCAAGGTCACCAGGAACTTCTATGTGGATGGCCACGTCCCCAAGCCCCACTGACGGGGCCAGCAGGACCAGCCCGGGACTGCAGTGGCCCTGGGGCCAGGACTGAAGGAAGAGCCAAAAAGCCACCAGCTTGGCCCAGAGTACAGACCCAGGCGAGAGACAGGCTGCAGGCACTGAAGGGCGATAGCCCTGCTGAGGACAGATCCCCTGGCCAGGCTGTGGTGGGGACAGGGCCCCACTTTGGGGTGCCTTCTCCAAGACCCTGAGACTCAGAGTGTAAATAAGGGTGGACTCAAGTTTCAGCTGCAATAAAACTGTGTTGCAGCTCTCCGGCATGTCGAGTGTCTTTGGGGACCAATGCCAGTTAGATCTGCAGCCACTTCTGCTGCCCCCCACAAGAGGCCTGGACCCTCTCTTCTGTTTGTTTTTTTGAGACAGGATCTCTATATGCATTTTAGGCTGGCTTTGAACTCACTGTGTAGCCCAGCTTGCTTCCACCTCACAGAACCTGCCTCATCCTCCCAAGGGCTGGAATTCCAGGCGGGAGCACCAGACCCCCCTCCTGACCGAATTGGGCTCACCCCACCCCTGCAGTGGTGCAGGGGTTTGCAAGGGTCTGGAAGGAAGAGTGGCCACCCTGGGTTGGGGGGATGGAGCCACCCTGGATCCGGAGGGGTGATGCGAGAATGCTGCCAGCCCCGCCCCGCCCAGCTGCGCCGGCAGAAGCGCCCCGCCACCGCCGCAGCCCGCAGGTGGCGCCCATCCTCATCAGGGCTTCTCCGTGGGGGCGGGGCGTCCGCGGAGATTGGGACAGGGGCCCGGCCGGCACCATGGAGGCCAATCTTGGGGAGCTGCTGAGGGAACTGCTGGTACCGCCCCGTGTGAACCCCGAGTCTCCCCCAGGACCCGCGGCCCAGCGGCAGCCAAGGCCCTTGCGGTATCCCATAGCAGGAGCCAGTGGCAGGTGGGTGCGACACCCCTTACCCCTTTCCCCTCCTCACTGACCCGCGGGGTCCAGGGCCCTGAGTTCGCAGGGTCACCCTGAGGTCACCGTGTGAGTTACTGGCACTCACAGAGGCACAGTTCTAGGCCTGAGGGACCCTAGGGGGGGTTCAGCCTGCCACGCACCAGCCTCCTTTTCTGAGGTTCGTGTAGGAACCAGTAGGGGTCGCGCCAGGGTCAAGAAGGGGAATCCAGTGATTAAAAATCAAAAGTTGGGGCTCTGCCCCACGTAAAGAGAAATAAATTTCTTGAAGTGATAACAGCTGCCCTGGAGCCCTGGCGGGTCCCCGAGGGTAAACCGTCGAGTCACTGGGCGGTGAGTGGTGGGTGGGTCGGGCCAGATTGGCCCTACTCGGGATTACTTTGTAACTTTGAAATCTACCCCCCACACACCCCACATTGCCCGAGGGCACAGGCTTAGGCAGAACAGGTGCCAGTTGGAACCCGGCCTTCTGGACCCGAGTCACCTGAGGAACCCTAACCACCGGCCTCTCATCCTCAGGTCCCTCTGGCCCGTGTGTCAGGACCCTGTCACCATCTTTCGGCTTCTCCAAGAGTCAGAAGAGGGCCAGGGCCAGGCCCCCACGCAGGCCACACAGACGACACAGGCCCAAGGAACCAGCTGGGAGCCCGCCGACCCTGGGGCTTCAGGCCCGCTGACCATGGCCAGGAGTTCCAGGATCCAGCAGACTTCGGGCAGCCAAAAGGGTCAAGGTCAGGAGCCCCTTGGGGTACCTGCAGCCCCATCCCAGAGAAGACCCAGGAAGCAGCCGAAGCCTTGCCAGGGAGCTAATCAGGTAGACCCAGGATTCAAGGGGGTGACCCTGAAGTTCCAGATCAAGGCGGATTCCAGCCTGCAGATCTCACCCACCTACAGGTAGGCGCTGGTGCTCACGGTGCCCTTTCCCTGGTCACCCTCAGTGTGTGCGGGAGGGACAGTCATCTCTCTGTGATGTGAGAGCAAATACATGGGTTCCATAGTACACATCCTGTATCCCACCACTCTGGGAGACCGAGGAAGGAGGATTGCAAGATGGAGCTCAGCCTGGGCACCTTAATGATTTAGCAAGAAAGAAAAAAATAAGAGGGCTGGGGATGGAGCTCAGTGCAGAAGCCCTGGGTTCAATCCCCAGTATGGCCTGCCTGCTATGGCAGTAGTTCTTAGCTGGGCTTGGTGGTGCACGCCTGTGATCCCAGCACTCAGGAGGCTGAGACTGGAAAATTGCTGGGAGTTTGAGGCCAGCCTGTGTTATATAGTGAAATCGTGTCAAAAAAAAAAAAAGATTCTTGGGGCCAGCAAGATGGCTCAGTAGAATAAGCGCTTACCTGGCAAGCACAAGGGCCTGAGTTCAATCCTTGGTTCCACAAAAAAAAAAAAAAAAGATTCTTGTTAGGCTGTACTGTGTCAGAGGTAATGACAGAAAGTCCATACGTGTCAGCACAGCTGCAAGCGTTTCCCCAAATATTTTCCGTCCAAGTGTGTGTTTCTTGCTTGGTGTGTCTTGTGCTGCTAAGGTCGGAGCCCAAGACATCCCCAGTGCCAGGTGGGTACTGTAGCCCGAGCTACTCTCGAAGCCCCCAGAGCTTATGCCTTTTTGTTTTGGTTTGTTTTTTTTTTTTTTTGAGGAGTCTCCCAGTGTAGTTCAGGTTGGCTTTGAACCTGAGGCAGTCCTCCTGCCTCAGCCTCCTGAGTCCTGGGACAACAAGTGTGCACCGCCACGCCTGGGTCGTCATCTCCCAGTCACAGGCCTGGTGTCTTCTGCCAGACAAGCCTGGCCACGCCATGCTTTCTCCAAGAGTTGGGAGAGGGTCAGGCCCAGGCCCCCACTTTTATTTTCCCCCAAATTGATCTTAACTGGCCTTTGTTAGTAATGAGAGCAGCAATAAGACACGGAACAGGCGTTGCCCGTTGTGGGCTCTTTAGTTTGGATGCATTCCTTTATCTGTCTTACAGTACTGGGGCGTGAACTAAGGGCATTTGCACTGAGCTGCAGCTCAAGGCTTTTACTTTTTAATTTTGAGACAGGGTCTCCATAAGTCACTAAATTGCACAGACTAGACTCAGCCTCTCCAAATTCTAGGATCACAGTCACAAGCCTCCACAGCCGCAGCTGGCTTGTGAAGCCCATTTTACAGATGGGGAACCTGAGGCCAGGAGGGGGACTGAACCTGTGGGTGTCACACTGTGGGTGTGGGAGACCTGGGACTCCAACTTGGCAGCTTGTCCCAGGCCTCCTGCTCCTTCATAGAACACTAATTATGGCAGCAGTGGTATCTGTCATTTCAGGACTCTGGAGGCTGAGGCAGGAGGGTCACAAGATTGAGCCCAGCCTGAATAGCATAGTGAGACCTTGTCTCAAAATACAAAATAGGAAGGACAGGGATGAAGCTCAGTTCTAAGGCCCTGGGTCCTGTCCCTGGGATGCTGGTTTCCTTGGTAACACATCTTTGGGGGGGGCATCCGGGGACAGGATGTAAACCCCCCCCAGGCTCACACCTTGTCTACCCCCTAGCCTGGCTGGCCGCAGCCTGACTGAGGGAGCCCCTGCGAGCCCTGCTCAGGTCGCTGAGTCGAACCCCAGAGGCAGCACTGGTGAGGCCCTAGGTGAGTAAGCCCTCCAGGCGGGAAAGCTATAAATATTTGGGGGACCAACTTCCCATCTCTCCAGTCTCTCCCTACCCTCCTTCCCCACCCTGCTTCTCCATTTAGCTGGCTCCCCCAGGCTGAGTCACCGCAGCCCCCAGCTTCCGCCTGCCGCCTGGATCCGCCATCTGCCTCCCTCCCTGGCTCCCCTACAGCAGCCCAGAGCTGGGGATGCTGTCACAGAGCCGCTCACAACCATCTCGCGCCACATGGGCTGCTCTGATTCTGACCGCTGCCCTCTGCTGACCTGCAACCCCACAGGGCTCCGGCGCTGTGCTTCCTGCAGCACCCAAAGGACACCCCTCTGGAGAGACGCTGAGGACGGAACCCCACTCTGCAACGCCTGTGGTATCAGGTCCTCAGCACAGCAGAGGGTGTTGGGGTGGGAGGGCCCCAAATCGGTCCACATGTCATCAGTGGAGTGGGAGGGAGGTGGTAGCCTACACACTCAGGAGGCTGAGACAGGAGGATCCCTGCAAGTTCTAGCATTGTCTATATAGTGAGATTTTGTCTCAAAAAAGACTAAAAAATACAATCATCACCTCAAAAAAAAAAAAAAAAAAAAAGGCCCTCTTGGGGGAAATGGGTGTCACGTGGAGGTTTCTGGGCCCCTGCTGCATCCGTTTTTGTTTTTTTTCTTCCTTCGGTGCCAGGGCCTGCTGAACTTGCGCCTTGCGCTTGCCAGGCGGTGCTTAGGCTGCTGGCTGTATCCCTGCCCCCCACCCCCACCCCACTCCATTCTGAATGTGCTTTCTTATACTCCCCACTTCAGGTACAAGAAATATGGTACCCGTTGCTCTGGCTGCTGGCTGGTCCCCAGGAAGACTGTCCAGCCCAAGAAGCTGTGTGGCAGATGTGGGGTATCCCTGGGCCCTCTCGAGGGGCCCCCTCAGGCAATGTAAGCTGTCCTTCAGCCAGCTGAGCCTGTCCTACCTCTGTTTCCTCAAGGAAAGAAAGGGAGACCTCCTGGGAGTGAGGAGAGATCCAGCCTGCCTCCTCTCTGCTGCCTCCCATGCCGGGACCCAGCGGGCAGACTGGCGCCCTTTCCCTTTCTGCCCTCTTTCCCCAGCAGGCTTGGCTGGCCACCAAATAAAGGAAGTTCTCAGGATGGACTGGTGTTCTCTGCTGTCAGCACCGCCACAGAAGGGCTGCTCAGGGGAGAGCAGTGTGACTTGGGGTCTCATCCTGGGTGTGATGCCACAGCCTTGGGAGGGCGGGGGAGAGGTGTCTTTTGTTCTTTCCTGTGAGCATCACTTGGAATTGAACCCACAGCCTTCATGTAGAGCTCCACCTGCAACCCTTTATAAATTTTATTTTGAGATAAGGTCACACTAAATTGCCCAGGCTGGGCTTGTACTTTCGATCTTCCTGCCTCGGCCTCCCAGAGTGCTGGGATCACAGCATGCACCCCCATGCCTAGGGAGAGAAGCTAAGCGAGATTCCACACTGAACACATGAGGGTTTGGGACAGTCTGCAACACGTGGCTGTTTTTCTCCAGTTAGTCAGCACGTATTGAGCAACTGCTGTGTAGCAGAACCTAGTGGGTACACATGCTGGCAAATGGAAAGAGCAGAGACCCAGTGTGGTGGTACGGACCTGTAACCCAGCACTCTGGGAGGCTGAGGCAGGAAGGTTGCAAGTTCTGAGCCCACCCTGGACAACTTAACCTAGTGTGAATTTATCTTAGAAAATAAGAAACAGGGCAAAGGCCCCATGGCAGGCAGGATTTGGTGAGTTCCCAAGACCGTGGGGCTGTGCCTCAGTGGTAGAGCAGTTGCCTGGTATTCAAGGTCCTGGATTCAACCCAGTCTAGGGGTGTGGGGCTTCCTGCCCCATTTCCTGTTCCCATCTTCACCCCTTGTGCATACAGCAGCCAATGAATGGGGCTCCGAGCCTCCAGGCCAACTTCCTTCTCTGGGACCCAGTGTTTTGCTTTTGAGGAGCAGAGAAGAGGGGGAGGAGGGCCAGCTGTTCTTTCCTTCTGCTGTTGGGGGAGGGATGGCGATGCATTTTGTCTGCTCCAAATCACATCACGCATGCCCAGCCGAAAAGCAAGTAGGTAAACTGAGGCACTGAGGACAGATTCCCTAAGCCTGGCTCCCTGGCTTCCTTGGTTTTTACAGGGTAGGGCAGGGTGTGCCCTCCCGAAGGAGGGCCAGCCTAAGAACGAAGTCACAGCCCCCCAGGGCCCTTCCAGGGCCCACACCCCATCCGACAGCCCACCCTGTCCTTGCTGGTAACCAGGCTGGGGAAAGCACCTGAATTCCTGCTGCTGAGAGCTGGGGCAGAGGGCAGCGCTGGCGGAAGAGAGAAGCACGGGAAAAGGAAGGGCTGCAGGCCCTGCACAAGGGCCCAGTGATTGCCGGGCGGGTGCGGCCGGCACCGGGCCACAGCACACAGAGCAAGGTGGCTTGGAATGTGCCTACTGTGTAGTGGGCTCTTAAAAAGAATCCCCCGCCCCCGGGAACCGAGAATTGAACTCAGGCCCTTACGCTTGCCAGGGAAGCGCTTATTCCACTGAGCCATCTCCCCAGCCCCGTTTTTTTTTTTTTTTCCCCCCTTCCGAACGGGGGATTGAACTCAAAAAGAATTCTATTAAAATGAATAATCCTCAAGATGGGAATTCAACCACACCTGTCAACATTCAAACAGAAGCCAGTAATCCCACAAGTCAAATGCCATGAGTTCAAGGCCAGCCTGGGCTACACAGTGAGACTGTGTTTTACAATAAAATCTGTAGCTGGGCAAGGCAGTGCACGCCTGTAATCTCAGCACTCGGGAGGCTGAGACAGGAGGATCATCATGAGTTGGAGACTAGCCTGGGCTACAAAGGGACCTCAAGGCCAGCCCAAACTGCATAAGGAGACCCTGTCTCAAAAATAAATAAATAAATAAATAATAATAACAAAATCTGTATGTTGTGGGGGAGCTGGGGATGTAGCTCAGTGCAAAGGCCCTGATTCAATCCCCAGTGACCCCTCCTCAAAGAAATAGAAGCCAGAGAACCAGAGTCCTTTATAAAAACTTTATTGGGGGCGCTGGGTAAAAAATGGGGGCGATGCCCCTGGAGTTGAATAAATAAATAAATAAATAGAACAATAATAAGCCCCCTTTGGCGCCTGGGGGCGGCCCCGGCCCGCGGGGAGAGGGGAGCAGCTCACGCGGGCGTCAGCTGGATGGCGAAGACCTCGCCCCCGGCCGGGGACTCCGCGATGGTGTCCCCTGCCTCGGCGCCGCCGCCTGCGCCGTTGAGACACACGGCCTCGCCCGAGCTCTCGGCCTCCTGCACGTTGTACTCGCCCTTCTTGCACGCAGTGGAGCGCACATACACAGCCAGCCCTGCGCCCGTGGCCAACAGCGCAGCGCCCCCTGCCGCACCGCCCACGGCGACCCACAGCCAGGGACCTGCGCACGGGACCCGGGAGGTCAGTCCGTCCCCGCGCACCTGCCCCGAGAACACGGGGAGGGAGACCCCTGGCCCAAGTCACACCCTGCTTGGCGGAGGGATATAAGCCTTTGAGCCCTGGTCTGGACACCAGCCTGAGCCCCCACTCCAGACAGACCCCAGCCGCAGGAGCTGCACGTAGTGGGGTTTAGGTAGACTCTATCAGCTCCTCTTGGCTTTTCTGCAACCCCCTTTTCCCATGGAGACATAGCAGCCAGGGAATGGGATCACATGTCCCCACTTCCTGAACCACACATAGGTGTGTTTTTTTTGTTTTTGTTTTTGTTTTGAGACAGGGTCTCACAGTTCAGGCTGGCCTTGAGCTCACTTTGTAGCTCAGGCTGGTCTTGAACTCTCAGCAATCCTCCTGCCTCAACCTCCTAAGTGATGGGAGGATAGGCGTGCACCACAACACCTGGCTCCCTTGATTTCTACTTTGGCCTACTTTAGTGTCATCTGTGGCGACAGAGTCAGGCGCAGGGCCAGAGCCCAAGACTCAGGGCTCGCCCTCTTGCAGAGCCACTGTCCCTCCCCCAGCTGCCACTTACCAGCCACGCGCACTGTGATGCGCCGTGCGTGACGCCCATGCGCGTTGGTGGCTGCGCACTCGTACTCGCCGCCATGGCTGCCCATGGCGCCTGCCACACTCAGCGTACTATTGTTGCTGGACAGGCCGATGTTGGAAGCCCCGGGAGGTGCGCGCCAGCTGATTTGTGCCGGAGGCCACGCCTCTGCGCGGCAGGTCAAGGTAAAGTTCCCCCCAGGCCGCACACTGGGGGGAGAGGCAGCCAGCTCAGCCACCACCGGTCGATCTGCAGGTGACAGAGGAGAATGGAGAGGGGCGCTTAGCACTGGGCCACAGCTGACCAAGTCCCATTGGCCCACCGCAGTGGGTCAGACCCTGCTCCTTCTCAGACAGGCACCCCTCCTCGAGCCTCTTGTTGGAGACAAGAATTCTGCCCCAGCCGGTGTGGTGTGCTGCATTTGTTCCAATCCCACCCCTAAAAAGTTCTACCTCAGGCCAGTGTGGAGGTGCACACCAATAACCCCAGGACTCTGAAAGGAGAACTGCATGTTTGAGTCTAGGCTGTGACTTAATAAGACCCTGTCTTAAAGGAAAACAAATTAATGCTTTGGTGAGGATGAAACGCAGTGTGAAAGCCCTGGGTTCAGTTCTCAGTAACCTTCCAAAAAAATTAAATTAAAAAGTCATGACTTTCTTACTGAGTGGGAAATGAGGCCCTACACCACTGTCCTGAGCCAGCTTTTGGGAGGGTCCCAGCTCCTATCCTCTAGACTTGCCGTGACTCCCAAGGTTGAGGCTGGGATCCCTCCTCAAGTCTGGGATGGGACAGCTTCCCTCAGCTTCCGCAGGCTCTGCCACCCCCGCAAATCCCTTTACTCTGGCCTGAGTCCCATCCATCCTGTGCCCCCCTTACTTACATTCCACGCCCACGGTGACAGTCCGAGAGTCTGTGCCGTGCGCATTGGTGGCCTCACAGCGGTAGGTCCCCGCATCCTCCCTGGACACGCGCGGCCTCTCTGGCCGGGGTGCGCCCTCGCGCAGGCAGCGCACGCGGGGAGACGGGCGGCCCCGGGCAGAGCAGGCTAGCGCAACAGCCCGAGCCCCTTCCAGCCATGTCTGGTGACTGGGGCAGGTGGACTCATCCATGTGGGGCGGCGCTGCAAAGCAGCCAGGAGGAGGGGTCAGGGGGGCGCCCTCAGGGGTCACCCCCTCCTTCCCGCCCACCGGGGCCCTGCTCACACTCCGCGCTCACGACCACGGTTTTGACCGAGGAGCCGTGGGGGTTGGTGGCATTGCAGAGGTAGACCCCGGGTGGCAGGTCACTAGGGAGAGGGGGGCCTCTGGGTCTGGGTTTGGAGGAATCCAGCGGCAACACCACTCCCTCGTTGGCATCTTCCGAGCCTGCGCACTCCACACTGGGCTGTGGTTTCCCATCCACCTCACAGGAGAACAGCGACCCGGATCCTTCCACCCATGTCCAGTTGCTAGGGCAGCCCGGCTCCTCAAAGCTGGGGCCATCTGCAAAGCAGGGAGTCCAAGGTCACTCAGGGGACAGACAGGAATCCCTGCCTGGGACGGCCCGAGATGCCCTTGCTCACATTCCACCGTGATGGCCACAGTTTTGGCCGCAGAACCTTGCGCGTTGGTGGCCTCACAGTGGTAGGTGCCTGCGTGCTCCCGGGCCACACGCAGCAACCCCTCCACGGCATCAGCCTCCCCAGAGCGCACGCAGCTCACGTTGGGGGCTGGGACCCCATGTGCCACACAGCTCAGTGATGCCTCCGTTCCCTCCACCCAAGTCAGGCGATCCGGGCAGCCCACGTTGTCCAGGGCTGGTGAGTCTGGAATGGGGTGTGTGGTACTGATTTTGGGGACCGAGCTGATGTTCCCCTGCCTCTCAGGACCTCCAGAAAGAGGTGGGCAGACTATGCCCTGGGTGGGCTGGAACTCTGACCCACTTGGCGTCAGTGCTAGTTAAGCCTTGCTGAACTGTTTCAAGACTTTGCTTGTTCTTTCTTTCCTTTCTGAGACATGGCCTGGCTATGTAGCCCTAACTGGCCTTGAACTCACAGACGCTCTCTTGTCTCAGTCCCCTGAGTGCTGGGATGACAGGCAGGGTTGTGCTGTCACACTGGGCTCCTACACACAAGAAATTTCCTAGACCCCTCACCAGCCGCTTCCCTTTCTCAAAATCCAAACACCTCCTCCTCCCTCCGTGGCACAGCTCAGAGCTTAGGCCCTGAGAACCCTAAAGCCACGTGCCGGTCCACGCCCCTACTCACACTCCACAGTCAGCGTCACTTCCTTGACGGCCGTCCCCTGAGCATTGGCGGCTGTGCAGCGGTAGGTACCCGCCAGTGCTCGGGTCACAGGGCCAGGCCGACCTAGCGCCAGTACCGCCCCGCCATCGGGCCGCGCACAGTGAACGGAAGGCTCCGGGTTCCCTCGGGCGTCGCAGCGCGGCGTCTGCTCAGGGCCCTCGGGCCACGTCCAGTTTCGAGGACAATCGGAGTCGTCCAGCCGGGGGGCATCTGCGGGCAAGGGTCCAAGAGGCTAGAGGTGGCGAATGAGGGATTGCCCCGCCTCCCCGACACGGTCAGAGACCCGGCAGGTCCTCTGAGGTCGCCAACTCACAGAGAACACGCAGCTCGGTGCTGTCGTTTTTGCTAAGCATCTCCCCTTCCACCTCGAGGGTGGCATAGCAGAGGAAGCCCCGCCCGTCATCGTTCTCGGTCGCATTGAGCTGGAGCTCCACGGGTTGTCCTGGAGCGGCAGCTGCAATTCCCTCCAGGGTGACCAGAGCTTGCGTCCCAGCTGTGCAAATGACTGTCACCATCTGCCCCTCAGAGGCGCTGGGCTCGCTCACAGTCAGGAGAGGCGCGGGGAAGCCTGAGGGCAGAGCATTGGGTGGAGTTCCCTGACCTCGCCCCTTCTCCGGCCCAAGCCCCGCCCCTTACCTACCCCTTTTGCCCTACAACTTCGAACAAATCGAGGCCCCGCCTCTCAGGCTCCGCCTCCTCAGTTATTTGCACTAATCCTCTCTTTGCCCCGCCCCGACCTCTCCGTCCACCATTAGCCACACCCAGTAGGCAATCTGGCTCCGCCCTCAACCGCCGAGGCCCCGCCCCACTCCCCCTTACTATAGACGGTCACGTTCTCCTGGGCCTGGCGGCTTTCGTCCCCTAGGTTCACTCTGCAGATCAGCTGCCTGGAGCCCTCCTGCTCTGTGCTACCGGTGGCTGTGGCAGTGGCCCTGAGGGTGTCCCCCTCCAGGATGATATTAGGATTCAACCTCTGGTCTCCCAGAGCGAGGTAAACCCCAGCTTCAGGGGCGGGAAAGAGTTTGTCCACAGTGCAGCTCACCGGCCTTTCTGAGCCCACTTCTAAGAGCCGGGGACCAAGGAGACGCGGGGGCTCTGGAGACAAGTCTAAGGGTGGAAGAACAGAGCTTGAACTTATTTTCATTATTATGATTGCTTTTTTTTTTGCGGAATTGGGGATTGAACTCAGGCCCTTGCACTTGCCAGGCAAGCGCTTATTCCACTGAGCTATCTCCCCAGCTTCTATGATTGCTTTTTGGAGACAGGGTCTTGCTATGTATTCCAGGCTGGTTTTGAGCTCACTATGCACCGAGGCTGTCCTTGAAATCACAGCGACCCTCCTGCTTCAGCTTCCGGATCGCTGGAATTAGAGGAATGTACCACCATGGGCGGCTCAATTTGAATTTATGTATTGAGCGCTCAGTATGTACTAAACCCTTAACGTGCACATCTTGTATTATCATCCTGAAGGCATAGAGACGAAACAAGCTGAAGGGTGAGCATTCAGACGTACGTGCCTTTACATTTGGACAGCGCCCACCCTACTTGGGGTCCCTGCACCCACTCACCGAAGGTTCGAAGCTGTCTGGGTGCCGAGATGTTTTCAAACAGCCCCAGGCCGTGAGGCCGCAGGTCCAGCTCCGCGCGGCAGGAGAAATTAGCGCCATGATCCTCCCTGCGCGCCAGCACCGTGGCTGTGAGCACCGCACCCCGCGCTCGGGGCGGCTCCCCCGTAAAGCTGCGGCGGATCAGCTCCTGGGCTCCCCGTAGTAGGGTCAGCGTGAGGCTCCCGCGGGGTCCGGCTCCTGGGACCCTACAACTCAGGGTGAAGTTCTCACCCACCGGCTGCCAGGGAGGCAGCGGCACCAGCTCTACGCGATCCGGTCTCTCTGCAAGGGAGGGAACCGCTGCTTTGGGAAACGCTGGAGCTTGGGGAGCCGGTGCTCAGACGCCAGGGCCCAGGGACACAGTGGGTGGAGCCCAAAGAGGAGGACCCGAAGTCCAGGGGGTGGGACGTGGAAGGGAGGGAAAGCAGGGCAGTGGAGTCGGGACACGCAAAACTCACGGAAAGTGCGGATGAGCCCGCGCGCCTGCAGTGTGCGCCGCGCGCAGCGGAAGAAGCACACTGGCTGGGTCTCAGGCTCGCGGATGTCCACCAGCTGTCGCGCAAGCCAGCGTAAGCCCCGCTGGGTCCCGTTGCGGCGCAGCGAGGTCTCCAGGCCACCTCTTTCAGGCCGAGGACAATTGGTGCTGCAATTCAGCCACAGCGAGCCCCCGCGCTCCACGAGCGCCACGCGAGGCTGCAGGTCCGCCCAGAAGGGCTCCTGCGCGACCGCTGCCCGGGGAAACGCGGGCTCAGGCCGAGAAGCCAACTCCCGGAGATCTCGGCACCCCTACGCCGAAGGCAGGGCTTCCCCAGGACCACCAGAGGCCGCGGTCCCTAAAGAACCCAGGAGTTCTGCCCAGGCCTTGGATTTGGAGGTGCTCTCCAAGTCCGGACTTCAAAGGTGGCTCTGCCAAGGAGACAGCCCCGGTCCTCAAGGCTCCGAGGAAGTGGTGGGGAAACATGAGGGAAGGGAGAGAGGAGCGGAAAAGATGGGGTTTCGGGTGTGCACAGCAAGGCTGGGAGGAGGGGACTCCTGGTGGGGGATGGGCACTGAGCCCATTCTTGAGGTCTTGGAAGATCGCCAGGAGAGGGGGAGGCTGAGACTGGGGCGAAGGCAAAGGAGAGAGAAGGCTGGGTCAAGGGAGGTCCCCAAATGTGGGTGAAGAACGTGGAAAGGAGACGTGGGGCAGGAATCAGGAAAGGAATCGCGGAAATAGCCGAGGGACCCTGTTGCCAGGGCTCCGGGTGAAGCGGGAACAGCGCCAATGAGTCACGCTAGTGGGGCTGTATGAGGGGTCTTTGCTGATCGCTGGGGGGAGGTAGAGGATGCCAGTCTGTGGACCACGGTGCACCACAGAGCGGGAGGGGGCAGGAGCACTCTAGGGTCTCCAGGGCACGCGGTTGGGCGCTGAACATCTGGATCTCCAAAGGAATAGAGATCCGGAAGAGCAGGAGTTGGGGAGCTGAGTCTGTGTGTAGCGGGAGCCAGCGCAGAGGACCCAGGTTCCAGGTGCGAACAGGAGCGTGGGGTGACCAGAGGGCGGGGCCGGGAGGGGCACGGGGCTGCTGCTCGGGTCCATCAACTTCACCCCCGCCCTGCGCGCACGGAGCAGCTCTTACCTGCGAGGCCGAGGATCTCCAGGCCCAGGGCAGCCCAGAGGCCGAGTAGCGCCCGGCGCAGCCCTGGCGAAGGCCCTGGCATCGCCGCCGCGGGGGAAACGCAGGAGGCGAGGGGAGCGCGAATGACGAGCTGGGCTAGAGGACCGCGCGGCGCGGCGGGTGGAGTGTGGGGGAGGCAGACTTGCGCCCGGGGATTGGTTTAAACGTTGGTAACTTGGTTTCCAAGGAGGGGGCGGTGGCAGAGGCGGCGGCGGCGGGGAGGGGGGCTGGAGGCGATCGTGCGCCGGGCTCCTGGCCTTGGTGAAGGCGATGAGCGAGCGACCCCCGGAGTCTACGCGGAGGTCAACACGACTGCCTGGAGCCTTCTGGGGGCGACCACGCTCTCCCGCGTCATCCCCGGCAGAGACGAGAAGATGGGGGGATGCTGGGTTGCCCTGCCCAAACCCCCACCCACCGGTGTATGGATGCTAGGAATCCGTGCTGGACTCCAGACTCCGCCCCTCTCTTTAGCTCCTCCCAGCAGCGCGCCCCTTAGGGCGGAGATTGATTTGAGGGCGAAAAGCGATTTGGGGGAGTGCAATATGAGAAGGGGGATGCCTCCTTTTACTGATCCTTCTCCTTTGGAATGTGGGGAGCTGAGGATTAATAGCCACACCCGGCCCTCCTCCTGCTCCACTCAGGCACGCGATGAAGGAGGCGGGGACCAAAGTGCCAGCGAGTCGGGAACACGTGTGCGTGCGCGCAGCCTTCACCGGCAGGCGTCTAAATTAGAGTCGGCTCGGCTCGGGGTCTGCATTTACCCAGCGTGCAGCGGGCAAGTGTCTAGACGCTGTGGAGCGCCTGCCTTGGAGCGAGTCGTGCACTCGGAGGAATGGCCTCCAGGTGCCTGGGACAGGCCTCGATTCTGCAGCCACGCGAGACCAAGAGACCAGCTGTGATCCTTTGGACCTTGCATCCGTACTCCAAGCCTTAGCGCCTACCCCCTCCTTTTGCCCACCTGCCGGGATAACTGCCAGAACGTCATCAGGACGCGAGTCTGTGACATCCCACGTGGGCCATCTGACTACTTCTTCCTCGCTGTCCCTACAAGGATACCTCACTGCTGTAGTCCCGCCCACTTGTGGTTAAGCGTAAACTGTAAGGATGCGGGGTGTTTGGGTTTTTTTCTTCACGGAGGGAGGGGTCCGCTGGAAAGACCGGGGTCCAAAGTGGAGGTGGGGTGTGAGTGGGAAAGAAAAGTTAACATCCAATCAGAGTTGCTGCGTGGTGGTGGCAGAGCCAATCAGGAACAACCATACCATAAACCCTGCCTCCCCCGGCCCAGCGCCTTCCAAGGCCCCTGCTTAGCCTATCTGCACCTCGCAGATAAAGCCAGCAAAAAGTGAAGTTTTACTGCACCGGCTGGAAATGCAGACTCTGGGCCAGTGGGCCTTGAGTGAATCGCGGTGTCCTCAAGGAGACAAGGAATTTGGAGAAAGTGGGCCAAAAAGGAGACTTAGTTTTTTTTCTTCCAAGGACCATGAGGCCAGGGGACAGAGATTGCTAGTGGGAAGCTTTATTGATCTGAGCAGTTTTTCCGAATTGCAAATTGTTCCAGCCAGTCCGCGCTCAGCCGGCAGAGCATGCCCCTCTAGGCTGGATCCCTAGCCACCTGTGCAGGGTGGCGGCCCCCACTGCTAGGAGGATCCCCACGACAGTCGCGATGGAGGTGGAGGCCAAGGCTTTGGACTCGGGGCTCCAATCTGGGAACAGGAGGTGGAGAATTAGGAACCCAGGAGACGGTCTGACGCTGGTCACTCTGGCCTGTGCCTTCCTGGAATCACCACACGTACACCTCCCAGAGTCCCCAGGATCACAGAGGTCCTTACCCAGGGGTGACAGGATGACGGGCGCCGAGCTGCTGCGCACCACCAGGCCGCCGAGATTGAGGCGTGCGTGGCAGGTCACAGGCTGCCAGAAGTCACTGGGCCTGGCGCGAAATGTGTAGGTCAGGGTCACATTGGCTAGATCTAGGCCTTTGAAGCGCTCCAGTCTTTCAAAATAGATAAGTCGGCCGCCGCGCCTCAGGCTCACCCTCAGGAAGCCCACCGGGAACAGCTGCGTCACGTGGCAGCGCAGAGTGTACCGGCCGCGCGCGAGGACCGGCTGCTCCAGGATCACGCTGCGCGGCGGCTCTAAGGCGAGAGGGGAGCCCCTAAGAAAGGGCCGCGGGCGCCCCCTAGCGGCGGCCAGTCGCCGCCGTCCTCCTCCCCTCTCCCCGCCAGGCCCGGCCCGACCGCTGCCCTCACTGTAAGCGTTGATCCTCGCGGTGGCCTGGCGCCTTTCTCCCGCGCAGGTGGCGCAGCAGCGCACGACGGAGCTCCAGGCCGTCACATTCACCAACTCGTAGGACACCCAGCCCGGCCCCGAGGTCGTGCGGCCGCGCCGCAGCTGGGTGAAAAGGCTGGGTCTGGCCGGTAGGGGGCAGCTCGTGCTGCAGTTCAGCCACACCGAGTGCCCCGGGGCCACCTCCACCAGTTCGGGGCTCAGACGCACCCTGAAGGGCTCCGAGACGCCTAAGGGCGCGGCAGGGCTGGGGCTGGGGCTTTGCGACAGCTCAGCCTGGCGCCTCCGCGCGCTCCCACCTACCGGGTAGGCGGCCGCCAGCAGAAGGGGCAGCGGCAGGAGCAGAGACTTCATGGCCGGGACCCCAAGCGGGGGCCTGGCGCCAGGGAGCCGGGCTGGCTCCGGAGATAAGGGGGCCCCGCGGCTCCGCCTCCCCAGACCCGCCCCAGAAAGGGCCAGGGGCCCCAGAAAGGGCCAGGGGCCCCGGCAAAGGATACGTGTCCTTCTCCCTTCCACCCAGAATGAGATGCGAGACACCACTGTCAACCACATATTATGTTATCTTTCTGGATGCGGCTCTTTCGTTTTCACTGAGGTGGCAGAAGGTCAGGAAAAGCCTCGGATTTGGACGGTAGCCTCAGAGTTGGTCCGGACGGCAGGCTTTTCGTGGGGGAAGGAAGTGGGAAGTTGGGGCTGCCACAGAGGTGACTAGAAAAAGCTCCTCCGGATGTGACCCCTACCCTCAGACACGTGGAGGTCGAGGCCCTGGGGTGGGGTGGGGGTGCTTTATTGGCTTCAGGTCAAGGCTTCCATTCCAGGGGATTCTGTGGCTTAACTGCCAAGGGTTGGCCCGACATTCGGGCACTGTCAGTGTAGGAAACGCTGGCAGAAATGGCTGTGGGTGGGGAGGTGGCGGTAGGGTGTTGGGGGAGGGATTAATGAGTGGATGTAGAACTCAGAGCCATGACTAGTTTATATAGTGCCTTTGTGCTCAACAGAAAAATAGAAAAAACACCCTTTGGGGAGAACACAGCTTGGCCAATACAGTGAGAAATCCTAGAGCCTCTTGATGTTTTTGCCAGGTACTTTTGTGCAGTACACAGCCTGCTCAACTGTACTGGGCAGCTCTGAATGTGTAATATCAGAGTATGCTCTGTGAGGGCAAGGATGTGTGTTTGCATCATGGGTCACTACTTTAGCCTTCTTAAAAAGGTACTCAGTAAATAGCCAATTTTTTAAAAGTTAAAAAAATAAATATGTTATTGGCAAGAGTTGAGCATAGTAAATATGTGGTAGTACCAGATCTGCCATTTTTCAGAGGAAGTGTGGGCATTCACATTTCAGTGCTGCCTATATTTGGGCCAGCACCCTCCTCCTGAGGACTGCGGGGCCTCGGCGCATCAGATGGGAGTGAGTCTCCGCATTTCCTGGCCGGTGGTCTACAAAGCCATGGGTTTGTGTCTCTGTCACTGTCCCTGTGTACAGGCCAGACTTCATCGTCTTCACAGACACCCAAGTCTCTTCGTTTGACACAGAATGTCACTATGCAGTTCAGGCTGGCCTCGAACTCACAACACTCCTCCTGCTTCGGTCTCCTGAGTGCTGGGGTGACGGGCGTGCACCACCGTGCCCAACTTCATTCTCCAGTCTTCTTTCTCCTTCTGCTCAGTCCTGTGGCTACAGGACAGGTGCACGGCCCTGTGGTCCAACACGCGCAGACATCAGGATCCCAAATGTGAGCCGTACCCTGCCTGCGGCCAGCCTCCTGTCCTCTGCCCCCCAGGGGGTGCACAGGGCTGCATGGTGCATACCCAGCACTTGGGTCAGTTCAGCACTGCTGCTGCTGCTGTTGCTGCGGCAGTGGGCTGGCACCGAGGTCTGGGGCGGACTCAGGAAGGTGTGGTTTGGGCTTCAATAGCAAAGCCTCGGCCGCCTTTTGCAGCTTATATTTCCTGATCTTCCGCTGACGGTTATACAAGTATGTGGCTGCGACAACGCTCACGAGAACCAAGATGGCCACCAGCACAATGATAAGGACATGATGAGTGTTGCCCTGGTTGTCTGTGGGGGGACATGGGGCGGGGCGTGAGGATGGAGCAGAGCTCACTGCCCGCGGTCCCCACCCAGCCCCACACACTGGTCACACTGGTACTCACAGAGAACTGTCACCAGCACCTCCCGGCTGGCCTCCCCTCGGGGACTCACGGCCCGGCACACGTAAGTGCCCTCGTGTTCCCGCTTCACAGATCTCAGGCTCCCGATGGGAAGCGACGTGTTGTCGCTCTTACGATAACACTGGAGCTGGGGCCGTGGGTTCCCTCGGGCCTGGCATCTCAGAATCTGCTGGGACCCCTCTGGCCAGGTCCAGCTCCCTGGACAGTCACTGTCGTTTAGTTGGGGGCCATCTGAGAAACAGGAGGAGGGGATAGTGGTCAGGGCAGAGGCTGGGGGCCCAGAGCTCAGGGCTCAGCGTCAGCGATGCCACTCACACAGGACGGTGAGCTGCTGGGTCTGGTTCTTGAACAGCACTTGCCCGGCCACCTCCAGAGCGGCAGAACAAAAGAAGCTGCGGTTGTTATCCTTAGCACGGGCGTTCAGTAGCAAGTGGGACGGTGATTCGGCTGGGGCACCACTCAGTGTCACGATGGCTCCAGGGCAAGCTTCACAATTCACCATCACCAGATCCCCTTCCGAGACCACGCTTGCGTTCAAGGTTAAGACCGGTTCTGGAAAGCCTGGGGGCGGGGCATATCTGCGGTTGGTCCCGCCCCAGTCCCCGCCCACACGCCCCACCCGTCCATAGGCCACCTGTGCCTCTTTAAGGGTGCTGGGATTACAGGTATGCGCCACACCCAGCGCTTGTAGATAGGTTCTCTCAGCTCTGGAAAGCTCGGGAACGAGCCTGCCCCTAACAAAGACCACGCCTGGAAAACCATGCCCATCAACCACTGGGTCTTACTGTAGACAGTCAGGTTCCTCCATGACTCGCGACTCCGGTTGCCCAGCAGGATGGCACACACAAGCTGCTGGTCGCCTTCCTCCTGGGCGGTCACCTCCAGAGGGGCTGAGGCGGACAGGGAGTCATCGCGGTACGTGACTGTGGTGTTCAGCTTGTGGTCCCCCAGTGCCAGGTGGACCTTGGCCTCCAGGGCCGGAAACAGCCCATCCAGAGAGCAGGTGACCAGCTGGCGGGTGCCAGCCTCCAGGGCCTCAGGGAGGACAAATTCCGGGGCAGTTTCTGGCAGGACTGGGGAGAAAATTCCGGGGCATGAACACAGAGGAAGGGACTTTCCGTGACATGTCCCACCTGGAACATTCTCTTCCAATGAGACTCTGGTTTGAGTCATCCTTACCTTTTAAATTTTTATTTATTTATTTATTTATTTGTGTGTGTGTGTGTATGTGTGTATGGCCAGCTCAGCCCACCAGGGGGCGGGGCTGGCTGGCATGTGGTGCTGGGGGATTGAACCGCGGTCCTTCTGCTTTTTTTTTTTTTTTTTTTTTTTTTTAACATTTATTGTGTGTGTGTGTGTGTGTGTGTGTGTGTGGCCAGCTCAGCCCACCAGGGGGCGCGGCTGGCTGGTGCTGGGGGACTGAACCGGGGTCCCTGTGCTTTGCCAAGCTTGTTCCAAGTAGGTGCTTTAGACCACTGAGCCATCTCTCCAGCCCCCCCCCCCCCCCGCTTTGTTAAGCTTGTTCTAAGTAGGTGCTTTAGACCACTGAGCCATCTCACCAGCCCCTTACCTTTTAACTTTTAATTATTTTATTTATTTATTTTTGGCAGAGGTACTGGGGATTGAACCCAGAGCATTCACACCGAGCTCTATCCCCAGGCTTTTTATTATTATTTAAATTGTGTGTGTGTGTGTGTGTGTGTGTGTGTGTGTGTGTATTTAGTACAGGGCTTCCAGGGGGTCCTTTCACTATGTAGATCAGACTCCTAGTGATCCTCCTGTTTTCAGCCTCCCAAGTGCTGGGATTACAGGCGCACCACCATGCCCAGTCTCAATCCTCATGTGTCCTGGGGCAGGGACGGCGCAGCATGCAGTAGATCAAACCCCGGCTGCTGCGCTTACTGCCTAAGCAGGCGCTGTAGTCTGCTGAGCTATGTGGCTGGCCCTAATTTTAAATTTTTTGAGACAAGGTCTTGCTAAAGTGCCTAGGATGGGGTTGCACATAGACCCTCCTGCCTCAGCAGCTCAGCATGCTGGGATTACAGGTGGCACCAACACCCTGGTGTACCTCTGTCTTAAGTCACCTTTAGCCAGGGCCAGTGTCTTCTTGGAATGGAAGATCCTGTGGCCTTGAGCACCCCCATCCCAAGCATACTCCTTTTTTGATACCAGTGACGTTCTTTCCTGAGTCTGCTGTCTCCATCAACACCACCTTCTTAGCCCCCTATAGCAGGAGACCCTGCTTCCCATGTGCCCGGTCCCCCAGTTCCTCACCGAAAGTCCGGAGCTGCCTGGAGGCCGAAGTGTTCAGGAAGAGCTCTAGGCCTTCGGAGCGCAGATCCAGCTCCGTGCGACATGAAAAGTTGGCGCCGTGGTCGTCCCTGCCCACCCGCACGGTGGCCGTGACCTCCGCGAGCCCCCCGACCACCGGCTGCCGGCTGAGCTCCTCCTGGCCCCGGAGCAGCACAGCCGTGAGCCGGCGCCGGGGCGCCCCACCCGCCACGAGGCAGCGCAGGGTGAGGTTCTCGCCTACAGGCTGCCAGGGCGGCAGGGGGCTCAGCTCCACCCGGTCCGGGAAGCCTGCGGAGACACGGGAGACAGGGAATGTCCTTTAAGTTGGATGGCACTTGTAGCTGCACACAGGCTGCACTTCTACACGGTCCCCACCAACAGGCCCAGCCACCTGAGCAGGAATGGCAAGAACTTTGGGGAAAACCGCACAAGTGGTGTGAAGAGCGCAGATCATTTTTGATTCGTGGTAGCAGTGGCTGAGAAGTGGGAAAGAACCTCAAAGCCTGTCCCAGGCACCTGCTCAAAGGAGCAGCGAACAGCAGCCCAGCTGGCTTGAAGGAAAACCCCTGGTGGGCTTGGGGTGCAGCTCTGTGGTGAGCACTTGCCTGGCATGTTGGGGGCTCTGGTTGCCTCTTGGCACCACAAAAAATAAGCAAAATAAGATGACTGCTGTTCCTTCTCAGCCTTATTTTCTCCTTTTTTTTTTCCCCCTCTCCTTTTTGAGACAGGGACTTACTATGCAAGCCAGGACAGCCTTGAGCTAGCTCACTTTGTAGCCCAGGCTGGTCCTGAACTCACAAAGATCCTCCTGTCTCAGCCTCCGAGTGCTAGATTATGGGAGTGTGAGCTACCATGCCCAGCTATGTTTTCTCTATTTTTGATAGTTCATGTTTTTAGACTGTGTGTTCCAGGCTGGACTTGAACTCACTGTGTAGCCCAGGCTGGCTAGGAACTCTTGGTGATCCTCCTGCTTCAGCCTCCTGCATGCTAGAATTGTAGGTGTGCACTGTCATGCCCAGTTTATCAGGAGCCTAATTTGGAAAAGTTTTTTTTTTGGGGGGGGGGCAGAACCAGGGATTCAACTCAGGTCCTTGTGCTTGCCAGGCAAGAGCTTATTCTACTGAGCTATCTCCCCAGTCCCCAAAACACTTTATTTTTGAAAAATTGCATCTTTTCACGGTGCTGGTCCTGAAGCCTAGGGCCTCACCATGCTAGGTTAGTGGCCTCTGGGCCACACTCCAGCTTCCAGAGTCTGAGTTTCAGCAAAAGAAATAACGGAGTGTGCCACAGGATTCCTTCTCTATCAACAATGGAAAAATGAAACTGAGTATCTCTTGACGACAGGACAAACAGGCTTTATTTTGCCAGGCCACGACCCCATTCTGCAGCAGGGAACAGAATTCCAAGCTCTTCTAATTCTGCTAAACTGCTGCCCAGGTTGGACCTGAACTCGCCATCCTCCTGCTCAGCTCCCGAGGCTGGGATTACAGGCAAGGACCGCCACACCCAGATTTCAATTTTTTTGTTTTTTTGTGCTTTGAAGAAATTTGGGCCCTTGCGTGTGAGAGTTCCCAGACCCCAAAGGGGTGAGTTTTTTGATGTGTAATTCACATCTCAGTAAAACTTAAAGAAAAACAACAACCGCGAAAAGGCTGAGAAACCCCAGCAGCCCAGCTGGTAGCTCTAAGCACCTCTGCAAATCCACCTTGCACAACACAAGGCCCCTCAAACCCCAACCTTTAAATGAAGCCCAGCTGCAGGCTGGCCCAGCCTCCTCCTCCAGGATGGGGGTAGGGTGGGGCGGAGAGTGCTCTGCCCCCATCTTTGTCCCTCGCCCACTCTTCACATGCCTATGCCCCCCTCGCGTGGGAGGGGGGCAGCTGAGCGGCTGGGCGAGGTCCATGTCCACCAGGTCCCCGGCTTCCTGGAAGTTCAGGAGCTGCTTGTGCTGCGCAGATCCCCGGCCTGCGCAAACCCCTGCGCGGCCTAACTATTACTCCGAAGAGGGAAGGCCCAGCCCCTAACCCCCAGCCTCCCCAGCCTGTGGACCTACAGCTCCTCCAGCCCCCTGTCAGGTAACTTCCGACTGCAAACTTTTCCTTAAGGCATTTTCTCCACCCAGAATATCCATCATCACCAACTCCTACACATACCTCAAGGCCTACCTCATGGTCACCTTCCCCATAAATTATATCTCTAACCTTTCTGGAAAAGGCTCAGCTACCTTTATACCAAGCGTGGGGCAAGACCCGTGGGCACCTCCTCCCACCCCAGGTTACTGTGGGCCAGCCATCTGCTCCATGTCACAGAGGGAGAAACTAAGGCCTGTGGGCAGTAAGACCAAATAAATAAATAAATAAATAAATAAATAAATAAATAAATGATTTTTTTTAAAAAAAAGAAATGCTCTCCCTGTTCTCTCCTGAGCCTGTGGGTTTCCTCCTCTCAGACAAGTAATCCTTTCTTTTCTTCTCTCACTTTTCTTTCCTTTGAATGGGGGTCTCACTGTGTTCCCCAGGTTGGTCCTCCAACCAGGGCTCAAGGGATCCCCCTGCTTCAGCCTCCTGAGTAGCGGAAACTACAAGGACTATCTGGGAATTCAAGGAATAGCTGGGAGTAAAGGAATTAGCTGGGACTACTAGTAACATTTGTACCTAGCCTATTGTCACTTCTAGAGTTTTCTTTCAGAGCTTGTCATTTTGAGAGAGGGTCTGGCTACGCAGTTCAGGCTGGTCTTGAGCTCATTTTGTAGCCCGGACTGGTCTCTGGAACTCGCAATGGTCCTCCTGCCTCAGCCTCCTGAGTGCTGGGATTACAGGTGTGCACCCCCACATCTGGCTAAGGGATTTTTTTGGTTTTTTAGACAGGGTCTCACTATGTAATTCAGGCTTGTCTTGAACTTGCTGTATAGTCCAGACTGGGCTTGAATTTACTGCGATCCTCTTGACTCGGCCTCCAGAACACTGGGATGGCAGGCGTGCGCCACCGCTCCTGGCCAGGCCCTGGAGTGCAGAAGGGCAGCCTCCCGGCCTTTGGCACCTGCTGACACAGACGTGGCATACTTCTCATGTTCCGCATACTTTCCTTTCTTTGAAGTCCCAGCACACCTCAGCAGCCGCCCTTTTCTCCCCCAAACTGCCTCATTCCTCCGATGGGCAGCTGGGCCTTTATCTGCCCCACTCCTTCAGAAGAGGCTCCCGGCTGGCTGCAGCGTAGACCACGGTGTAGCTCCGTGGTGGGGCACTTGCCCAGCATGCACAAGGCCCAGTGCAGCTACATAAATAAAATAGAGACCAGCTCCTCTTCAGTTCCCTTGGGGGAAGGATCCATGACTGGATTTTTATGTCACAAGACACCTGCACGTGTCACTCAGAGAACAATATAGCTGTTACCAAGTCTCTTCATTATTGCCAATATGTTAAAAATGTCACCTTGGGGGCTGGGGAGATAGCTCAGTAGAATAAGCACTTGCCTGGCAAGTGCAGGGTGCTGACTTCGATGCCACATACCACAAAAATGAAAAAAGAAAATGTCATCTCGGGGCCAGTTTTAAATTGGCTTTTTTGGCTAGCAAAATAACTCAGCAGACTAAGCGCCTGCTTAGGCAAGCTCAGGGACCAGGGCTCAATCCCCAGCACCTCAAGCTGTGCCAGCCCCACCCCAGAGTGCGATGAGTTAGCCAAGTCCAGGCACGGTGACACACACCTGTACTCCCAGCTCTGGGAAGGCTGAAAACAGGAGGGTCACTACAGAGTCTAAGCTGCCTGTGAGATCCTGTACCAAATACATAATAAACAAATAAATAGGCTTTAAAAAATTTTTGGTTTTAAAAAATAATAAATTGCAAGTTTTTCATTTTTCTGGTGCTGGGGGCAGGCCCATGGGTGCTCTACCATGGAGCTACATTCCTAGCCCTACAGTTTTCTTTTTTTTTTTTTTTTTAATTTTTATTTATTTGAGAGAGAGAGAGAGAGAGAGAGAGAGAGAGAGAGAGAGAGGTGTGTGCGTGTGGCCAGCTCAGCACACCAAGGGGCGGGGCTGGCTGGCATGTGGTACTGGGGGATTGAACCGCGGTCCCTGATGCTTTGCTAAGCTTGTTCTAAGTAGGTGCTTTAGACCACTGAGCCATCTCTCCAGCCCCCAGTTTTCTTTCTTTTCTTATTCATTTATTTAGGGACAGGGTCTCCTTATACATTTTTTTTTAAATTTTTTTCCATTTATTTATTTATTGTGTGTGTGTGTGTATGTGTGTGTGGCCAGCTCAGCCCACCACGGGGCGGGGCTGGCTGGCATGTGGTGCTGGGGGATCGAACCGCGGTCCCTGTGCTTTGCCAAGCTTGTTCCAAGTAGGTGCTTTAGACCACTGAGCCATCTCACCAGCCCTCTCCTTATACATTTTGTCCAGGCTGGATTTGAACTTCCTACATAGCCCAGGCTGGCCTCGAACTCTCATCGATCCTCCTGCCTCAGCCTCCTGAGTGCTGGGATTACAGGTGACACCCAGTGCATCTTTCTTTTTGGATCCAGGGCTGTGATCCACGTTAAAGGAGATGCCCAGGCCAGGGTGGAGTGTGGAGCTGGCATGAACGAGGCCTGTATTCCACCAACCCACCCGTTTCTGGGGACCAGCACCCCGCCCAGGCCACTCACTGTACACGGTGAGGGAGACGGACGCCGTCCCTTGCTCCTTAGAAGGACAGAACAGGAAGCACATCGGTGAGCCGTCTTCCGGAACTTGCAGTTCAAATAGCTTCCAGTTGATTCCGCTGTCTACTACCACTTTGGGAAAGTGAGTCTCCAGGCCGTGTTTTGAGCCTTGACTCTGTGGGTCACAGCCGGAGAAGCTGCAGTTCAGCAGGATGAAGCCTCCACGGGGCACGGTGGCTTCCTTGGGGAACACAGACACCTTCAGGTCATCTGCCACGGCTGGGAGGGAAGCGAGAGGAGAGGAGGCGTGGGTGAGTTGAACTGGCAACAGTGCAGGGCGGCGAGCGGTCCTGGCACAGGGCCTGGACCCAGGCACATGGCCCACAGCGTGGCAGCCGGAAGCCTCCACATGCCAACAGATAATCAATAACAAATGCGAGGAGGCTTGAGAACACAAAACAGGACGAACCCAGGGCCACTGTATGGAGTTCCATCTCCAGCCCTTTTTATTTTTTATTTTCAGACAGGGTCTTGTTAAGTTGACCAAGCTGGGCTCAAATTTTCAGTATTTCTGCCTCAGCCTCCTGGAAAGCTGAAATGCCACATGTGGGCAGCCCTGCCCAGCTCCCTGGGGACAGATCTGAGCAGAGCTATGAGTGACAGGAGAGGGCTGCTGATGGAGAACAAAAGGTTCCTGGAAGAGGCGGGAAAGTGGGAAAGTCCTCAAGCAGGGTGACTGGGCGAGGAGAGTGAGTAATAGAAAGTCATGAAGAAAACAAGTCACTAAGCTCCTAAGGGCGCCAGTGGGCAGCTCTGCCAAGGTGAGGTTCCTCAGCATGCAAAAATCATACAAAGATGGTGGGGAGATGGATCAGTGGAATAAGCACTTCCCTGGCAATGCAAGGGCCTGAGTTCAATCCCCGGTTCTGAGAGAAAAAAAAAAAAAAAAGTATACAAAGTGTGTTCTGTATTCTAAGGGCGATGAGGGACCCTGGAAGAACCTTAGCAATCAGATTTTTTTTTTTAATGCATTTGGTACAGGGTCTACAGGGACTACAGGGCCTCACTTTGTACATCGGACTCATAGTGATCCTCCTGTTTTCAGCCTCTCACGTGCTGGGATTACGGGCATGCACCACCACGCCCAGTCTCAGTTGCTGCCCGATGTGCTCTGACTAAGTAGGCGTTTAGTCCACTAAGCTATCTGGCCAGCCCTACAGTTGGATTTTTGTTGTTTGTTTTTTGGGTTTTTTTTTTGACACAGGGTGTCACTATGTAGTGCAAGCTGGCCTGAAACTCACTCTGTAGCTCAGTGCCCTTCTCTTTGCCAGAAGGCAGGGATGATGCGGGAGTCAGGCTGGTTCTCTACACCGAAGGCCCACTGCTTTCCCTTTTTTTTTGGCGGAACCGGGGATTGAACTCAGATCCTTGCGTTTGCCAGTCAAGCGCTTATCCCACTGAGTCATCTCCCCAGCCCCTGCTTTCCCTTTCTAGGGCTCAAGTTCCCCATCTGTAAGGGAAACAGTACAGCCCCCCAACCTCCTGGTAACACCACAGACAAGAGGAAGATTATTAGAGGCCAGGGAGATGGCTCAGTGGACTAAGTGCTTGCCTGGCAAGCGCAGGGACCTGAGTTCAATCCCCAGTACCAAAAATAAAAATAAAAAATAAATAAACTACATTTACAGATTATTAGAAAATAGCAAGAAGAAGGAGGAAGAAGAGAGGAGGAGGAGGAGGAATACATTTATTACATTAAATCTCAGACTCTATTGCCTCCCCAGTCTAAAAAAAAAAAAAAATTGATAACCAGGTGTGGTGGCACAGGTCTGTAATCCCGACATTTGGGAGGTTGGAACAGGACGGTTGCTGTGAGTTTGAGACCAGCCTGGGGGATACAAAGCGAGCACAAAGCCAGCCCGAACTGCATAGTGAGACCCTGTCTCCAAAAAAAAAAAAAAAAATTTTAATTTTGAGTCAAAGCATGGGAGGCTGAGGCAGGAAGATGAGTTGAGCCTGGGAATTTGAGACCAGCCTGAGCAACATAGCAAGGTGCTGGCCTCTTAACAGTACTGCTACTTTTTAAAAAACTACCAAGAGGGGCCGGGGAGATGGCTCAGTGGAACAGTGGAATAAGCGCTTCCCTGGCAAGCACAAGGGCCTGAGTTCAATCCCTGGTTCTGCCAAACTACCAAGAAAACTATTCAGCCACCTCTCCTTCCACAAAAATTCCAATCCTCAGCTTAGCTGTGGGAAGTGATCTGTGATCCCGGTGGCCAGGAGTTCCCTGTGTGTAATTCTGGAATTATTCCCATTTCACAGAGGGGAAACTCTGCCCCCCTGTTCCCCAGCTGGCAGGCTCTTCTGGGAGGGCAGAGTTGGGGACACTGGGACGGCCCAGTTCTCAGCTTTCAGCCCCTGATGAAGTTTGTGGAATTCCCCAGAGCAGAAGCAGCTCGGACTTCCCCAGGAGCAAGGAAGAGGAACAGAATACCTGTGGCCAGGGCCGTTCCTCAATCGGGCCGTTCCTCAGTCCTCAAATGCGCCCCAGGTTGGGACAGATTCCCATACCGACCCACCTCTCCTGGGGCCAGGCACTGTGTTTGACACCACAACACAAAACCTTCTGGCGGCCACCATAACGCTCCCCCTTTTACAAAGGAAGAAACTCAGGCGCCCCCTCCCAAAGTGCCTTCTATAACCCACCGAGGCCACCTCAGAGGCAGCGGGTGCCTTTCAACCCGTGGCCCTAGTCTCATCTTCTGAACAGCTGTCTGTTGCAGGAGCTTAATCCCAGCATTCAGGAGGCTGAGGCAGGAAGACTGTCCGAGTTCGTGGCCAGCCTGGTCTCTAAAGTGAGGCTCTATTTCCAAAAAGCCCAAAAGAACAAACCAGAACAAATATCTGAACTTCTGCCTAAGCATGAATGTCCCCATGAACCCGGGCGCAGCCTCGATCCAGGGAGGTGGTCCGACGGAGATGCCCACCGCCCTGGGACTCCGACTCACTTGGTAGGACGACGCCCAGCAAGGCGAGCAGCACGGGCAGCGGAGCCATCGCTAGCGGATCACGGGCGGCGGCGGTGGCGGCTCAGGCTCGGCGCAAGTGGGGCGCAGCGCTCGCGCCGCCCTTATACCCGCTGGCCAGGGGCCGAGGGGGCGGCGCTGCCGCTTTCCCGGAAACCTCGTGTCTTCCCCTCCGGAATGGGGATTGGCATTTCCGCATGGACTGAGGGTCTCCGCTGAGCGGGGTGGTCCTGCCTCGCTGGCCCGGGCGCCCCGGAATTTCCCAGCTGAAGCAGCGGGGAGCGGTGGCGGGAGGAGGAGGACCGGGGACTGCTCCGGGCCACCAGAGGTCTCCTTCTCTGGCTGGGTGACGTGATTCACCGTTTACTCTGCCCACTGAGCAGTCGAGTAGTCACCAACTCCGTTCTGCGTAAGGATAAACTGAGGCTCTCAGTGGCAAAGGGATCGGAACCCAAGTCTTCCGGTTTTGGTTTTAGACGCAGTGTCACGCTATGTAGCCCAGCCTGACCTCGAACTTGTCGCGATCCTCCTGCTTCAGCCTCCCAGGTGCTGGGATGGCAGGTGTGCGCCACCTCTCCCGCGCAAACTCAAGTCATGACTCCTCAGTCCTGCAAGTCTCTCTGGCTGAGTGCAGCAGCCCCTTGCGGGAGGGGAGCCCAGGGTCTCTTTCGGGGAGCCCTCCATTGAAAGTGCCCCTCCCCCAAGGGGCCTGTTCACACCCGGGTGACACAGAGGCTTCCAGGGAAGCGCGCCCCGGATGGGAAGGTGCCGCGACCTCTCGCCGCCGAGGCAATCTGCGCTTCCACGCTCCCCTCCCCCGCACCCTGCTTCCCCTTTCGGTCTGGGCTACGGGGGCGTCGTCATGGCCCCCGAAAAGGGAAGGAAGCAGTGGTCCTGACGCGGGAGCTGGCTGCTGCTCCTTGGCCGGGTGAGTCAGCGCCTCAGCCCGGACGGCGGAGCGGTGCGGGCACGCGGGAGCCCTTGCGTTCCGCGGGAAACTGAGGCAGCTCCTAGGCTCCGAGGGGGGCGCTGAGGGAATGGGCTCCAGCCACTGCACTAGGACGACCTGCGGCGGTGTGACCCCGGGACCCCGCTTCCGCCCGAGGAGGCCGGGCAACGCTGGGTCTCAGCGTCGCCCGAGCCTTCCTGTTGTGGGACGCCCAAGGGTCGCCATGGAGACCGAGGCCGCGGAGGTCGCGCTGCAGAACAGGAAGGGAGCGGGCGGAATGCATGGTCCCCTCCCCAGGACGCGGCCCGATCCCCCGCGTCCGCAGACCGTGTCCCGCTCCGCCCCACCCCGGGCGCTCCTAGGAATTTCCACGGGATTCTTTTGTCTTGGAGGGGCTGCGACAGTGGATCCCGCTCCGGAACCGCCTGGGAAAAGTTACACCGTGAGATCAGGGCTGTCGTTTGCACCCTCGAGGCTCTGGGAAAATCCCGTGCACCGGTGGGTGATTTTCAAGCGGGTTTTTCTGCACTGACCTCGCCGGGTCCTGTGATCACCGCAGGAGGTGCACGCTTGGCGAGAGCCCCCTCGCGGCACAAGTGCCACTCTCCACTCATGGCTCATTGCTTACTGGGGGCCAGATGCCTTTCGAGGTGCTGGGGACACAGCAATGAAAGGTAGTCGGGAGCTATGGTCCAAGCCTGTAACCTCTTAGGCTGAGACCATCCCGGGCAACTTAGGGAAACTTTGTCTCAAAATTTTAAAAGGTCTGGGGATATAGCTCAGTGGTACAGCATTTGGCCAGTATGAACAACATGTGTCAGGTGGTCCACTCTGGAATCCCAGCAATTGGGAAGCTGAGGCAGGAAAATCTCTTCAAGTTCAAAATCAGCCTGGACGGCAAAATGAGACCCTGTCTAAATAAACGAAAATAAAAGGGGAAAAAAAACCCAAAACAACAGAGTACTGTGTGAACAATGGGCTGACTTCCATCTCCAGATAAGTAAAGAAAGCATTAGTCAAAAAAAAAAAAAAAAAAAAAGCATTAGTGGTAAAGGAGAGAAAAATAAGGCAGGAAAGAGAACACAAACTACAAGAGTTAACACATTTTTGGAGTATTCTGGAAAGACTTAGAAAGTGAAATTGAAGCCAGGCACCTGTATCCCAGTCATTGGTGGTGCACACCTGTCATCCCAGTGCTTGGGAGGCTGAGGTAGGAGGATCCCCACAAGTGTGAGGCCAGCCTGTGCTACACAGTGGGACCATGTCTCAAAAAATCAAAACAAAAAGAAAAGCAAAAGCAGTGAGCGGGCCAGGGTGATGACTCAGTGGAATAAACGCTTCCCTGGCAAGTGCAAGGGCCTGAGTTCAATCCCTGGTTCTGCAAAAAAATAAAAATAAAAAAAGCAGTATGCAGGAACAGAAAGCATCATGGTGGCATGAAGGCCCCGGACACGACAGATGCAAAGGCCCTGTAGCAGGTCATGCTGAGAGCCACAGAAGGTTCTGAGACCCAAGTGAGTACAGGCATCTGCTGGCACCTGCACGAGGAGCTGCAGCTTGGAGCCCAGCAAGCCATGGCGGGGCCTGGGCGTTGGTGCCCAAAGCGGAGGGGGGGGGGATGGGAGTGGCGCAGAGTCCAGGGCAGCTCCCGTGGGAGGGGTGGCCTGGTACAGACTTCGGCTCGTTCTGCATCTCTCTGAGGAAAGTGGAAGCAGATGTCCAGCCCTTGCTGCTGCCTTCAGGAAGGGTACGACTTCCTCCCAAATGCCAGGCAGTTTCCCACATGCCTGGGATGGGCACAGGCAGCCCAAGCCTTTGGAGGGCTGTCAAACTCTGAGCACTGTTCCTCAGTCCCCGGAAGCTTTCCCCTCACTCCCAACATGGCCCAATCCTCCTTTCTTCTTATTCATTCATTTATTTATTTTTTCTGAGACAAGTCTCACCACTTAGCCCAGCTGGTTGCCAACTCCCAGCGATCCTCCTGCCTCAGCCTCCCCAGTGCTAGGATGACAGGCATGCACCACCAGTCCACGCTGTGTCTGTTCCTCCTCTCCTGTCCCAAGATAAAACCCCCAGAAAACTTCCCAGAACCCCCACCCCATCCTGCTGTATCCTGGACCACGCCCGATCACCCAGACACTTGTCCTAACAGTCTTATTACATAAACTCAGAAATTTGTTACTTCCGACTTCCGGTCATTGTCACCTCCAGAAGGGCGAGGACCTGGTCACTCCTGCACCAGTGACCAGCCCTGATAGGTTCTGCATTAACCAACTACAGACAGCATTTTTTTTTTTAAATTGAGCTTGTTTTCAAGCTGCTGTTTGTCCCCTGACCTTGAGGATTCTGAGGTCCTGATTGAACACGCAGAGGCTTTTCCAGGATGGTGACTAGTTCCATGGCGTTTGCATTGTATGAGCTATGAAAAGCCATGTACAGACAACTGAAGACCTATGAAAGGTTGTGCAAGGGCTCTAAGTAAACACAAAGGGCTTTAGGGAGTACTAGGGATTGAACCCAGTGCCTCTGCGCTCAGCTACATTTGCAGGTTTTTATTCCTTTTATTCTTAAAAGTTGGTATCTTATTAAGTCACTAAGTTGTTCAGGCTGGCTTTGACCTCGTGACCCTCCTACTTCAGCCTCCTGAGTGCTGGGATGACAGATATGTGCCAGCACACCGGGATCATTATTTTGAAATAGGGCCTCACTACGATGCCCAGGCTGGCTCTGAGTCTCTGGGCTCGAGCAGCCCTCCAGGGTGCTAGGACTCAGCCCACGCCAGTGCATGGAGCCACGTCCCAGGGACTCCAAAGGCGCTGCGCGGTAGCCCCTTCCCAGCTAGATCTGCCTGAGAGCTTCCAGTGTGACAGGTTCTGACAACTTCCCTGTTGCCCTTGGGTCCCTCCATATTCTCATTTATTTATTTAGTGTGGCCAGCTCAGCCTGTTCTTGGGGCTGGCATGGATGTGGTTCTGGGGAGCAAACCGTGGTCCCTGCATTTTGCTTAAACTTACCTAAGCAGGCGCTTTAGACCTATGAACTATCTTGCCAGCCCGTTTTTTTTTTTTTTTTTTTTTTTTTTTTTCAGAACTGGGAATTGAACTCAGGCCCTTGCACTTGCCAGGGAAGCGCTTATTTTACTGAGCCATCTCCCTGGCCCCTAGACCCTATCTTAGAAATATAATTTATATCTCCCTGGCCCCCCTTTCTTTTAATGTATTTAGTACAAGGTCTACAGGGTCTCACTGCGTAGATCAGACTCTTAGTGATTCTCCTGTTTTCAGCCTCCCAAGCACTGGGATTACAGGCGAACGCCACCATGCCCAGTCTCAGTCACCATCTCAGTGTGCCCCGGGGTGGGGCTGGCACAGCACGAGGGGGATCGAACCCTGGCCGCTGCGCTCTGCCTAAGCAGGTTCTTTAGTTTACTGAGCTATCTGGCTTGCTCTTGTTTTTGTTTTTTGAGATGATCTCACTGTAACCAGGCTGGCCTCAAACTCACAACGATCCTCCTGCCTCAGCCTCCCAAGTGCTGCGATTACAGTTGTGCACCACTGTACTTGGTTCCCTCAAGGTTCTGATGCAAGTGGAAGCACATTCCTGCATCCAGCTGCAACTCTCAGGGTGACTGGCTGAGTTTGCTCTGGACAATAGGCACCCTGCCTGGGTTGCAGTGTCGCCCCCATATGGCCAGCCAGAGGCACAACAGCCACGCAGATAAACGCTTGCCCTAATGCACACTGGCCAGCCTCCCAACACTGATTTTTTGAGACAGGATCCTGCTATGTAGACCAGGCCAGCCTCAAACTCTTGGCAATCCTCCTGCCTCAGCCTTCCGAGTGCTGGGATCCCAGGCATGTGCCACCACGTTTGGCACAGGAACACTCTAAAACAGTTCCTTGGCATTTGCGCCCAGAAAGCTGAATGACACATCCTTGATGTTTGCAACAAGGCAACCAGCAAAGGACAGGGCCGGGCCCATGGCCACCTGGCTGGGCCTAGCAGCTCACCCGGAGGCAGTTCGGCCAGTCTTCTTGCTTGTGCATTTACTTAATGAGAAAACGCTTCCCTTTGTTGCCTGAGTGGCCCTCATCTCCCGGGTGTAAGCGATTCGGCTGCCTCTGCCTCCCGCCTAGCTGGGACTATAGATAGGCCCCATGCACCACATCCATTTTTTTTATTGTTTATTTTTATTTATTTATTTGTATTTAGTACAGGGTCTACAGTCTACAGGGTCTCCCTACACAGATAGACTTCTGTTTTAGCCTCCCAAGAGCTGGGATTACAGGCGTGCACCACCATGCTCAGTCTTAATCACCATCTCAGTGCTCTGGGGGTGGGGCCGGCAAGAGACGCCGGGGATGGAACCCCAGTCCCTGCACTCTGCCTAAGCAGGCGCTTTGGTCCACTGAGCTATCTGGCCGGACCCACATCCATTTCTTTAATGAAATTGGATGTTATTTTATAACCTGGTGTCACGATAGCATTAATTCAAGCCAGACATGGTGGTGCGCACCTGTAATCCCAGTGCTTGGGAGTCTGAGGCAGGAGGACCACCACAAATTCAAGGCTTGCCTAAGCTACACAGGACTATAGCAAGGCTGTTTGAAGAAACCAAAACATTCAAGTCCCACTTGGGCAGTTTAGCAAGACCCTGGCTCAACAAACAAAGCAAAACAAACAGGTCTGGGGACGTAGCTCTGTGCAAAAGGTCCCAAGGTCAGTCCTCAGGACTGCCAAAAACAATTCAGGAGGGAAGTAACCCGTGCAGACTCAGGAGCTGGGATCGTACCTGGCATGGTGGCACACACCTAGAATCCGAATGTTCTGAGAGGCGGAGGCAGGAGGATTGCAAAGTAGAACCCAGCCTGGGAAGCTTACGAAGAGGTCCTGCCTCAGAATAAAAAGGACTGGGAGTATAGCTCCCTGCGCAGGCCCTGGGCTCAATCCCTCACCACAATATTGAGAATTTGGGGCCCCAGGGTGCGGCTCAATGTTAGTATTTGCCTAGCACCCACGAAGCTCTGTGCCCAACAGCCTCCATTCTCCACGGGGGGGTGGGGGGGGCTGCAGAGGCCTGGCTTCCTGACACCCCGCTTGGAGCAGCTGTGGGGAACCCTCGGGCTCATGTGCTGAGTCTACCCCTAGGATTGAGTCTGAGCTTCCAGGCTGGCGGCCACAAGTACCACTGCACCAACTTGTGTTCTTGACCCCTGTGAAGCCAGACTTAGTTTTAGCCAGGCATGATAGCACAGACGTGTAAGCCCAACACTATGGGAGGCTGAGGCAGGAGGGCTACCGGCCTGGGCTACAAAGTGCGTTCAAGGCCAGCCTGAACTGCACTTCCAGACCCTGTCTCAAAATACACAAATACACAGAGCCAGGCTTGTCTGTAACCCCAGCACTCAGGAGGCTGAGGCAGGAGGATTGCTGCAAGTTTGAGGCTAGCTGGGCTAAAAAGTGTGCTCAAGGCCAGCCTGAATGGCACTTTGAGGCCCTGTCTCAAAAAGACCAAAACAAACAAACAAAAACCAACAACAACAAAACATAAGTCCATGTAATTACTTAAAATAAAATAAAAATTTATTTTAAACACAACCAGGGAGAGCCAGGGCGGCTCTCATTGGGCTGAGGCCTGCACAGCCAACCTTGGTGGCGCAGAGTCCAGCTGATGGCCGCCTGCAGGGAGGCGAAGCCGCAGGTCAGGGGAGGTCGCGGTAGGGCAGGCGGAGGGGGTAGAGCGGCGAGTAGCGCGATTCCTGCCAGAGCAGCTTCTCCTCCAGGAAGGCGACGGTGGGCAGCGTGAGGACCAGGCTGCGGTGCTTGAGCATGCTGTGCACGTTCAGGCCTGGCGGGCAAGCCTGGGGTCACCCTGAGCTGCGCCGCCACCCCTGAGGCTGGGGCTCCTCAGGGCACCCCACGACCTGCTGCCAGCGGTAACCCAGAAGCCTGGCTCCACCTCCACCTTTGCTGCCTGCCTTGAAGAGCCTGGCAGCCAGGTGTGGTGGCCCACGCCTGTCACCCCAGCACTCGGGAGGCTGAGGCAGGAGTGCTGTGCTGAGCTTTACTGTGAACGCCTCCAAACACAAAAGCCCCCGCCAAGAGGCTGCTCCCAGCTCTCCGGGGTCTGCCCTGAACCTAGCTACGACTCCTACCTTGCACACAGCGAGAAGGCCCCGGAACACATGGATAGTGTGGGAGGGGAAAGAGAGGAGGGGACAGGCAGGTCACGGCCCTGGAGGGCAGGGACAAGGCTGGGCTCAGAATCCGGGGAGCATGGCGCCCCCTGGAGGCTGCAAACGGGAACAGACTTGGCCAGGTGGAACCTGAAAGGCCACCAGTGGGGTAAGCACCCAACCGTCATCTGGTCAGAGAACGTGGCTGTTCACTGCTCAAAGCCATTCCACCACAAGTGACAGACACAGGTGAGTTGAGACTGGGTTTTTCTATGTTGGCCCCGACTGGCTGCAAGCTTGGGACCCTTCTGACCGAGACTAAATGCAGCCGCGCAGCCGGGCTCCGAGGCACGCCCGGAGCCAACCACGGCTAGGGCAGGCGGAGGCATGCCTGCACTCCGGGGTGGGCTTGGCCTGTGCTCACCGACAGCTGGGATCAGGTTGATGGTCTTGAGCCTGCTGGCAGCCTCCACGACGTTGTGCGGCATCTCCTCGTGCGTCCTGCGCCACAGGAGCATGAGCCCTGCCGCAGAGCCGCACCCCCCGCCCCGCCCGCCCGCCCGGGCGCTCACAGGTCCACAAGCAGCACGGAGTCGCCCCAGCGGCGGTATCGGGCCAGCTCCATCAGGTACTGGGGGTCTGCGGTGGGCAGCTCCAAGGAGTCTACGATGTGCAGGCCGTCCTGGGGACGCGATGGCCCTGAGTCCGGCAGTGCCCCACCCACCAGCCCTCAGCGCCTGGGCTGAGCAGCTGGCACCTTACCTGCGCCAGCTTCACCGTCAGGGCCACCTTGAGCCCCAGCGCGCGCACCTTCATGGGCAGCATGTAGTAGTAGCTGGTGGGGCCCCGTGGGCCGTGTGCGATGCCCCCTGTGGGGGTAGAGAGGTGAGGTGTGCGGGTCTCAGAAAGGGACAGAGAAAGGAGGCCGGCCAGGGGACAAGCTGGGAGCTCTGATTTCCTCTCTCTAGGTCTGTTTCCCCGACTGTTAACCCTGCGATCTGATGGTTCCTAATTTGCAGACAAGGCCCTGGGGATGGAAGCCAGGGCCTTCACACCTGGCTCCAACCCCATCCTGGTCTTTACAATCTTACTTTGAGACAGGGTCTCCTTAAGTCGCTAAGTTGTTCAGGCTGGACCTGAACTTGCGATCCTCCTGCCTCAGCCTCTTGAACACCTGGGATGACACACATGTGCCCTACGTGTAGGTTAAGACTTCCAGGGCTGGGGGAGACAGGCACTGGACACAAGCTGTCAGGGACTTAGCAGTTGGGAGAGCGTGTGGTCAGGCTAGACAGGGCTTGCCAGCTCTCAGAAGGCATCAGGGTGGCACCAAAAGTCTCTGTCTTGGTGAGATGGCTCAGTGGTCTAAAGCACCTACTTAGAACAAACTAAGCTAAGCAAAGCACAGGGACCGCAATTCAATCCCCAGCACATGCCAGCCCGCCCCGCCCCCTAGTGGGCTGAACTGGCCACACACACACAAAATAACATACATACATACATACATACATACATACATAAAAAGTCTCTGTCTTCTAGGCAGCAGGTCAGATATGTGTGCAGAAACAAGAAACAGCCGGCACCAAGCCACCCACTGCGCGCACTCACCGCCTCGCCAGATCGGGGAGCGGATGCTGCCGTGCCGTGCCCGCCCGCCACCTTTCTGTGGCCAGGGCTTCCGGCCACCACCTCGCACCTCAGCCCTCGTCTTGGTCTTGGCATAGCTCTGTGGGCAAGGGGAGGCTCAGGTGCAGGAGGCGACAGCACCTCAGACACAGGGACTGTGGGGAAGGCAAGGCTGGATGGGATGCCAGGCTGGTGGCTTCAGGGCCAGGGTAATGGGAAGCAGGGGCTGGGCAGGCAGGGAACAGATGCTCTAGACTTCAGGGGTGGGGGCCTGAAGGCAGGGACTCTAAGAAAGGCTTCTGTTTCAGTGGCACTGGACGTTGAGCCCACGATCTCCACACTGAGCGACAGACATTCCAACCTCTTCAGACAGGATGTCACTAATTTGCCCGGGCTGGAGTCCAACTCACAATTCTCCTGCCTCAGCCTCCCAAAGTGCTGGGGTTACAGGTGCGCACCACCCCCAGCTTAATAAAGGATCCTTCTGCGTTCTTGGCATAGACCCCAAGCTCGACACGCTGGTCCCCCCCACCTCTGTGGCCCGGGCAGCTCCTTCTTTTACACATTGCATGTTTGTCCCACTGTCACCACTAGAGCCCCGGTAAACTGCTCGGCTTCTACACGGAGGCCCGGGGTCCCTTTCTGTGGGACAACCGCCCATCACTGCACATGTACAGCCCAGGCTGCCTGACTGGTGTCCCCTTTGCCACCAAATGGTGAACTCCATGGGGCCAGGGTCCACTCTGTCCCACCGAGGCTGAGTCCTCTCCAAGCACAGAGCCCAGAGTGGTTGGTGCTCAGGAGAAGCCTGAAGACTGAGCCATCGTGCACAGATCCAAGCAGAGAGGAGGCTGGGCTGGCATTCCAGAAAGCAAACCCAAGACTGCCCCGGCCTCAGGCCTGCGAGTCCGGAGGAAGCCGCTGCACCCAACCCCCTCCACACTCACGATTCTCTTGAAGTTCTTCTGCCAGATGGCCACCTGGTGCAGGACATCCAGCCTGGCGGGAGGGGGAGGGAGACAAAAGAAGCCAGTCCACTTCACACCCTCCCACACTGCCAGTCACGGAGGGCCCTGCCTATAACCTCAGCACTCTGCAAGGCTGGGGCAAGAGGATCACATATTTGAGTCCTGCCTGGGGAACTTACTGATTTCCTGATTTGAGCCCTGCTTGGGGAACTTACTGATTTCCTGACTCAAAATTAAACAAAGGGCTGGCAAGATAACTCAGTGGACTAAGCGCCTGCTTTGGCAAGTGCAGGGACCAGGATCTGATCCCTAGGACTGGCTCTTCCCACCTGGGAGTGGTGCTACAGGCCCGTAATACCAGCGCTGGGGAGGCTAAAAACAGGAGGCTCACTATGAGTCTGCTGCATCGTGAGACCCTGTACCAAATATATAAATTTTTAAAAAGGAGGGGGTGGGGCCGGGAAGATGGCTCAGTAGAATAAGCGCGCAAGGGCCTGAGTTCAGTCCCTGGTTCCACAAAAAAAAAAAAAAAAAAAAAAAAAAAAAAAAAAGAGGGGGTAGGGTATAGTTCTGGGCAAAGGCCCAGGGTTCAACCCCCAGTACCCAAAACAAAAACAAAACCTGCACACAGCTCCTCACCCACTGAAGGAAAATCCAGCCATGCTCCCCTCAACCTCCGGGGATCTATATAATTTGCTCTTTTTTCTCTTTTTTTTGAGGAGGGGTACCGGGGATTGAACTCAGGACCTTGCGCTCGCCAGGCAAGCTCTCATTCTACTGAGCTATGTCCCTGGCCAAATTTGCTCTTTTCTGACCTCATCTCGAAAGCCCTCCAGCCCAGCTGGCCTCTCAAGAGATGGCGCCCAGCCCCTGGGCCTTTGCACTTGCTGACCCCTGCCTGAAATCTTGTCCTGGCCTTCTCAGCCATGCAAACCACCTCTGAGAAGAGTTCCCTTGCTACGGGATGGGCCCAGACTGAACTCGAACTTGAGGCGATCCTCCTGCCTCAGCCTCCCCAGTGCTGGGATGTCAGACGCACGTGACCACCACTTGAGCTCCATAGTCCCCTTTGGCAGGTGGGTGCACAGGGTGCAAGAGTAGGCGCCCAGACCACGCCGATTCCTGAGCTCGTGCTCCCTCTCCCTTTCCAGCAGCCATCACAGCCCCGCTCACCGGGGCGCCGTGGCAAACACGTCAGGGTGCAGCTCCGCCAGGCCCACGCGCTCCTGCTCGTAACCCCGCAGGGACTCGACCCAGGCCTGCACCGGGCGCCGGGGAGCCGGGACCGGGAGTTCGCATCGGCGCAGCACAGGCTCCTGGACACCTGCAGCAAGGGCGAGGTCGGGGTCAGGACCGAGGGTCACACCCCCGCCAGGTGAACCCGGTGGGCTGCTCACCAGCGCTCGGCTCCGGCTCCGGCTCGGGCTCCGACTTCACTGGCCGCGCTGCCTCTTCCGTCAGCGAGCTCAGACCCTGCAAGCGGTAGCAGAGCATGAGACACGACCCCGAACTCGTCACCCTTTGTGCTCCGACCCTGTCTCCAGCCCTCGGCCTCACCCTGCAGCCCAAAGGCCGAAGCCAGGCCCGCGTTCCCGCTCGGACTAACTGCAGCATCGCTACACCGCCAGTCCCCTCGCCAGGGAGGTCTAGGCTCCCTCTGGAGGCGAGCGGCGCTTCGTTATGACGCCACACGGGCGACGCGCCCGCCCCTCTCGGATTCAGCTCTGGGAAGTGTGGGGGGGTGTTAGCGCAACCTCTAAGTGAAGCCTGTGCGCCCTTACATCTGTCTCTGAACTAAGCCCCAGACCCTGTGAGTTACTCGCGACTTCAGAGTTTTCTCCGACACTTGAGAACCCAACCCTAAACAGGCTCTCTCCTGCGGGTCTTATCTTCTCGGGCCCGCCCCCAAGAAGAGGAACATGGAATACAGCCAATCAAACTTCTCAAGGTCAAAAGCACGCTCCAGAATCAGCCAATGAGCATTAAACTTGGGTGAGTGACCTGCCTGTAGCTGAACACAGCCAATAACTTTTGCCATTAGTCCCGCCCTGAGACCCGCCCCCCCAAACGTCAAGATTCGCGCGGGGGTTTCAGTGTTCAGAGTGAAGGTTCCCTAGTCCTTTCCGCGTGCGCGGTCTTGCGGCGCTGGTTTCCTGCTCCCGCTCGCTCCCTTCTTCTCTTCTATCCCCGCCCCTCCTCTTGCGCGGCGGGTTTGGACGCCGGGAACCCGAAGCAGCGCTCCCAGCCGCTGGTGCAGCGGGCCAGCGCACCCTGTCTCGAGTGCGCCGGCTGCACCATCGGGACTGCATTGAGTTTATTTCATCGCTTCCAGAAAGAAGAGATGTTGTCATTCTTGGAACATCTTGTCACCCGAGAGTGCACTATGACCAAATTTTTATGTGAAGTTTGAAGATCCTATGTGTATTTGGTTGTGTTTTTAATACTAATCTTGTGAAAACTGATACGTGGATGGGAAAGGATTAGATGCATATTACTGATTCCTTTAACTGCTTCCTATAATTTTTTCTGGAGGGAGGACAAGGTCTCGTTGTGCATTCCGGCTTCGCCTGGAACTTACTGTGTAACCCGAGAAGCAGCCCTACCGTGTAGCCCAGGCTGGCCTCCAACTTGCGGCCATCCTCCTGCCTCAGCATCGAGAGCCTCAGGATGACAAGCAGGCACCACTATGCCGGCCATGGAATATTTATACAGTGCATTCAGATGTCTAGGTTATCTTTCTCTCCTACACCATGATTTATTTAAGCATCTGTATTAAAATATGGTCTCAAGAAAGACAACCTAGGGGCTGGTGAGATGGCTCAGTGGTCTAAAGCACCTACTTAGAACAAGCTTAGCAAAGCACAGGGACCGCGGTTCAATCCCCAGCACCACATGCCAGCCAGCCTCTCCCCCTGGTGGGCTGAGCTGGCCACACACACAGAAATAAAATAAATTTTTTAAAAAACGTTCAATTTATTAAAAAAAGAAAGAAAGAAAGAAAGAAAGAAAGAAAGAAAGAAAGAAAGAAAGACAACCTGAAAATCTAAAGGCAGTTATTTACAAAGGATTCTGGCCGGTGGATGTAATTCTCCTTACTAGAGAACCATAAGAAGAGGTTAACTTGCCCTGTGTCTCAGAGCATACAAATTCAGAGATGTGCCTAAAGAAATCACAAAGATTTAAACCAGTTATCCGCTTCATGTGATCCCAGCACTCGGGAGGCTGAGGCAGGGGATCACTGTGAGTTCAAGGCCAGCCAGGCTACATAGTAAGACCCTAACTCAAAAAAATAAAAATAAAAAATAAAAACCACCCACCCAAAGTATTGTCACTGTAAAATTGACAGCTTCTCAGAGGCACATGTCGGATGTTAATTATTTTAGATTCCATTGATGGCATGTTTTATTATGGAATTAAAAAATTCTACAAGAAAAAAATCTTAAGTGTTTTTTTTTTTTTTTTT